TTGATGATACAGTTGCAATCTAGTGGGCGGTGGACCGTGCAAAGCTCACGCCTCGTCGTGTGCGTGTGTGTCTATGTGTGTGTGTGTGTGTGTGTCTGTGTGTCTGCGTGTCTGTAGGTTTGCTGGGGAGGTGTTGTACCGTGCGGTAAGAGTGCGTGCTGTTGTGCTGTGTGCTGTGCAGTGTGTACTTGTGTCCTGAGTCTGGTGTCCCGTGTCCTTGTCTTGTTTCCTGTGTCTTGCGTCCTGTGTGCTGGGATGGCTGCTGCTCAAACAAGGCCTGGATGCGATCCTTCACTGGAACACGCCTGATTGGGTCTGAGCTATGGCTATGGACAAGAGAAAAGGGCCGGCCCGTCCAAGAGTTACAAGTAGATGGGAAGCACCGTGGTCAGTCACTCTCGAAGACGTCTCGAACGAGTCAAAAAGGGTCTTTGGGGAGGGATGGCGGGGGAGGGGGGGGGTAAGGGCAGGAGGCTGAGAATGAAGGCGGCTTTTCTGGCAATCAATGGATTGATGCTTGAATGCACAGCACACTCTCGGTTCGCACACTTGACTAGAGTCAGGCAGGTAGAGTATTTTAGTCCGTCCGGGCTCGATTTAAGCTTGCAGCTCACACAGTTTGCAGTAGCCAACGGAGCCAGTTGCCGAGCAATGCAGCGGACGCTACCCTGGTGGTCAGGGCAGAACGGGGGGGAAATAGAAATGGGGGGGGGGAGGGGGGAGGATTCTCTCCCTCTTTTTTTTTTTGACAGCCGCCGAGATAAGACGAGACGAAGTAGCTTCTAGCAGCAATTGTCACCACGGGATGATGGGCACCCGTACAACTAGGCCGCGTTCTAGAAGGAAGAAAAAGGCGAGTGTTTGCATCACCACGAAAGAGAGAAGAGGGGGGGGGGGCGGTCGAGATGACGGCCACCGCAGTTACTAGCAGCAACGCTCGCTATACTCTAGGGCGGGTGGAGACGTCGACGTCAATCGGCAGACTCGCTCGCCGTTGATCGACTTCTGGCAGAACAACAGTTGTCAACCGCGTCCTCCCACGGCCTCGGGGCTGGTCAGTGGTGACAGTGCCCACGAGCCTGCCCCTCCCCCTTCCCGCCCCCCTCCCAGCTGCTCCGCTTGTCGGTATTTCGGCCAAAAGTAGGCAAATGTACCATCCACATCCACAGAAAGAGAGTGCACATGCGCCAGCGCCGGCGCCCAGCACCTGTGGAGAACTGGCTCCTGGCCTGACAGTTGGCCGCCGCGCCATGATTGTGTGTCCCTCTGCGGCTCGGATGGGGGCCTATTTAGTTGGTGACGCGCTCAACAGAGAATCTGCATGGGAATCTGCATGGCTTTGTTGCCATATTACCTACCCGGTGTTGCAAGCAGGCATGACAGGTGGAAGAGAAGAGGGAGAGAGAGAACGAGGGGCCTCTGGGTGGATGCCAAGAAGGCCTGGAAGCGTTCGAAAAGGCCAGTTCCCGCTGTTCAAAGGCGTCAGAGCAGAGGGGGGAATGGTCGACGTCCGCATTTAAACAGAAAATCGCGGATTTGCAATTTTCGTCAGACGAGCAGACGAGCGACGTCACTCTTCCACCGACGTCACCAGCAAGGGTGCTGCATGGCTTGAACCCTGCATCTGCTGCTTTGCTTCCCATCGCCCAAAGCTGCCTAGCCGGCTTTTTTCCACCGAAGAGGAGCACATGTCGATGTCATCTAGGTATGCAACGGCGGTGTACTTGTTTGTAGCTAACTATATTCTGGTACTGTGGTACTGGTAGTCCTCCAAGGTAGAGGTACTTGCACAGTCCATTCCGGGTGCCTACTGTGCACTGCACTGCACTGCACGGGTACTACTAGGCCACTACTCTACTCTACCTAGTACCTACCTATATGCCACATTTCGCCCACCAACCCTGACAGACACGTTGTGTTCCCAGCGTGAAGGGCTGATTACTATTACTACCGTACTCTACTGTACATACCGTACTTACTTGGCCCTAACCTACAAAACCGCCGAGTCGGATCCCCGTCCTATATGCGAGCTCCATACCTACCTGGGTGCATGCCTAGACCTACCGTAGTACCTACCGTACCGTACTGTCGAAGCCATCCGTATATACTGCACCTGTAGTCGCACACTGACTCTCTACAATCTTCATATCGACTACCCTACAATATACCTGTCGCCGTCATGATCATCACCACACAGGCTGACCAACCACCCAATGGCCATGGCTCCCAAATGCATTCAAACAGGTCCTCTACTCTCTACCCCTCCCCTTCTCCCTTCCCTCCACCACCTATGCAAAACAGAAAAACCCTGCACAATGCTATCACGGTGCAGTGGCTATCCGGACCCCTCCGAGCTGCATGCACATGGACGATGAATGGCTATCCTCGGTGCGGGAGCGTACATAGTGCGCATGAACCCCTGCCTCGATACTGCGTTGCCATTACCTAGTTGACAAGCGGATCGGCAGGCCTGACCCCTTCCAATCTTTGCTTTTGCAGTCATATGCCATTGTCGGCTTGACGGAGCGGAGGCGGAGGGATATCTACTGTGTGTGTGTGTGTGTGTGTGTGTGTGTGTGTGTGTGTGTGTGTGTGTGTGTGTGTGTGTGTCTTGCACAATAGCTACTATACAGGCTGGGAAGTCTTTGGCGACCTTCTTTCGCTTTCGCCTTCTGCTTTCTTACCGTTGGTGGGGGTGTGTGTACCGGTAAGGGATGTGGGTGATCGAAATTCACCACGTGATGACCCCATGTGGACGCAACATTCCGAATCGACGTTGCCTTGCATCCTGGATCAGCACCATCAGTCAATTTGGGCAAAATCCATGCATGACACTCTCACAGCAGGTCAAAGACTACTCTACAACCCACTTCCACTGCGTATAGTAGCACTCTTACTCTACTCTAGAGTAGTAGGTGCTGAGTTTCAAAGTCATAAATGTGGGACGCTCTCGTACTGATCCCGTGTCTGCCCACAGATCCTACCAATGCACATGCTTGGCCCTTGTCACCCTGTCGCACACAATCAGGTAGAAATCATACCGCATACGGCAATGATGCGCTCGACCACACAGTAAAGAAAACTGGCAACCAGCCTACCAGAATTTGTCATGTGGGGGAACGCAGTGGGTAGCAACGCAAGCGATGAGTAAATCTTGGTGAAGGGAATTAGTAAACGCTACTTGTATCGTATAGCGGCAACGGGCCCGATCTCGCATTGTGTGGAGAAGGATTCATGTGTGGACGATCAGGTATAGCTGCAAGATTGGTACGCCTGTTTGGAAAACGTGCATTTAGCTGTCACTTTTAGTTTGTGTGTGTAGGTATAGTACAGTCTACTACCGAGTCATGCTGTAATCGTATGCGAGTCATCTGTCCTTCATGCGAAAAGTTTAGCCCTTGACCTTGTAGATGGCCTCGGCAAGACGACCAACGTTCTCGCTTGTAATACCAGCAACAGAAATACGTCCATCCTTGGTGGCATAGACCGAGTGCTGTGTGCTAGTTAGTATGTCTACCTCGTTTTCCTATTCTCGTTTGACAAACTCACCTCCTTGGCCAGCTTGTCCATCTGTTCAGCGGTCAGACCGGTGTACGCGAACATGCCAATCTGCGATGTGATGTGGCTCCAGTCCTGCTTGCTTCCCAACTTCTCGAGGTTCTCCTTGAGAAGAGCACGCATGGTGATGATGCGGTCAGCCATGTCCTTGACCTCGCCCAGCCATTGCTTGTTGAGAGAGGCGTTGTTGAGGATCTCGGAGGCGATGCGAGCACCGTGCACTGGAGGGTTGGAGTATAGCGGGCGGACGAGGATCTTGATCTGAGAGTCGACGCGCTTCTTCTCATCGGCAGACTCGCAGACAATGGAGAAAGCACCAACGCGCTCGCCATATAGACCCATGTTCTTTGCGAAACTCTGGGCAAGCACGGGGCGGAGACCCTGCTTGATGAAGTGACGGAGCGCGAAAGCATCCTTGTCGGTGTCACCGCTGGCAAAGCCTTGGTAAGCCATGTCGAAGAAGGGGAAGTGGCCGCCCTCCTTGACAGCCTCAGCAATCTTGAGCCATTGCTGCTCCGTAGGGTCAACACCTGTGGGGTTGTGGGCGCATGCGTGGAGCAAGATGATGCTGTTCTTGGGCATCTTCTTAATGTCTGCGACCATTCCATCGAAGTCGAGACCGATTGTGTCCTTGTTGTAGTAGCGATACTTCTCGACCTTGAGACCAGAGTCCTTGAAGACGGCAGCGTGGTTTGCCCATGATGGGGTGGGAATGTAGATGGTCTTCGCGTGAGGGTAGTGACGCTCGAGGAAGGCGCCACCAATGCGAAGCGCACCGGTACCGGAGATGGTCTGCGTGACGGCGACACGGTTCTCGGTGAGGGGAGTCGAGTCGGATCCGTAGGCAAGCTTGAGAGCCGCCTCGGTGAATTTGGGAACACCAGTGATGCCGGCATACTCCTTATCCAGGGATGACTCGACAATCTTCTTCTCGGCCTCCCTTACGGAGGGCAAGACATAGGGCTTGCCCTTGTCATCGCGGTAAGCACCGACACCTGAGCTGGTCAATTGCGGCTGTTCAATGACGGTAGCAGGATATACTGACCCAAATTGATCTTCTTTGGGTTGCTGTCGGCCTTGAAAGCTTCCGTGATACCTAAAATGGCCTGAGGTGGCGGTGAGTGGGTTGTTGTTGTTGTTGTTGTTGATGGCCGTTGTTCTGCCACAGTTTCATACTCACATCCTAGACACAATCAGTATTTCCAGGGTTCCATTGACATGAGGATGATTTTTCGGTCAACTTACTGGAGGACCCTGAGGCACCTGCGACCAGACCGAGACGGCGCGGACGGAGCTTCTAGCGGAGAGCTGTTTGGCCGCAGCTTGACGCAGCGCTGTTCTTGAGGAAGCGAGCATGATTGTGGGTGATGGCGTGGGGATGAGGAGGGCCAATTGAGGGATGCGGAGGAGGTGAAGGAAAGGAGGAAAGACTCAACGTAGGGGGGAAGCTCACGAGAATCAGTCGGTGGTGGTGGTGGTCTGAGCTGCGGGTGACTGGCTACTCCTAGCCTTTAGGTAGGTTTGTACCCCAGAAACGCAATTGCCCTCGACGGTTGCGCGGGAGAGGGCGGACAGTTCGCTCTCATTGGCCAAAGCTTATTTCCACGGGTTGCCTGCTTAACTCCGACACTAAGGACAATTTTCATAGCCAAAAATCACAAGCGCGTCGCGTCTAGTTGGCGTCAAGTGAGTGAGAGTGGGGTGAATGAAGCTTGGAAGCGATAGACGAAATGAATGTCATGGACTCCATGGACTTGTGATGCGACACTTCACTCGAAATGCGACCACATTCAGCTCTTCGTCAGGCCAGGACGCTACTGAACCAAGAAGCCTCCTCCATCGTCTCAATCCCAGTCTTCCTCTGCCCAACCCTGCTCAGGACCCCGATAGCCACCAGGCGTCACCATACAGAGCCGACTCGGCCATCCAGACCCTTGTCGACATTCGCACGAACACTGCAGCAGCGAGCCACTCTTTCCACCCCAGACGTAGTCGAGAGTCATCCACGCCCTACTGCCCCAAGACTGCTCCCTCGAGCTTGTCCAGGATGTGGCGCACCAGCACAGACTACTAAGCAGAGCGAGGCTGGATTTTACAACACAGAGAGAAGGTCCCTGCGGGAATATGTCAACCGACCTGTGGAAAGGGCAGCAGACGCTTCAGAGGAAGAGGACGTGTATAAAAAGGCACTCGCCAACATCAGTCCAGAGCTGTTGGGTGAGCTGAGGATAGCGAAAGACGGTGATGGCAACAACATCTCGCACGAAGATCAATCTCTCCCGATTCCAGTCTGTGATCGCTGTCACAACCTTCTCCACCATCACGTGGGGACGGCAATCCACCACCCCTCCGTCGAAGCCATTCAACAGACTATCGCCGAGTCCCCCCACCGACGCAACCATATCTACCATGTCGTTGATGCTGCCGACTTTCCCCTCTCCATCGTCCACAACCTCCAATCCTCGCTTCGCATTCCCAAGCTGCGAACCCAGAACAGACGAGCAAAACACAAAGGCTGGGTGGCCAACGACCGCATAGCAGAAGTCAGCTTCATCATCACGCGTGCCGATCTTCTCGCCCCCAAGAAAGAGCAAGTCGACGCCCTTATGCCCTACGTCCGCGAAGTGCTCCGTGATGCACTCGGTAGACAGAACCAAAACGCCCGCCTAGGCAATGTCAGACTTGTGAGTGCGAAAAGGGGCTGGTGGACCAAGCAAGTCAAAGAAGACATTTGGGAGCGTGGTGGCGCAGGCTGGATGGTGGGCAAAGTCAATGTCGGGAAATCCAACCTCTTCGAAGCTGTTTTCCCAAAGGGACGAGGCGCCGACTATCAGAATATACCCAAGATTCGTACTGCTGCGGAGCGCGAAGCCATGCTCGCGGCTACCAATTCCCTAGAAGAACTGTCAAAAGTGCAACAACAACTCGCCGAGGAAGATGCAGAGATGGAGCGTCTCAAGAACAAGCCTGTGGAACATGTGCACCAAACCCCTGCCGAAGATGAACAGCGTGATGAAGAGGAAGAAGACTGGGAAGATCCGGATTCCCTCCTTCCCCCACCCCAACCCTACACGCCTTACCCGATCTTCCCCATTGCCTCCTCCCTCCCCGGCACAACTGCATCGCCCATCCGCATCCCCTTCGGACGCAACCGCGGCGAGCTCATCGACCTGCCCGGCCTCGCCCGCACAAACCCCGGTCTCGAGACATTTGTCGACCCCACCTCGCACTCCTCCCTTGTGATGACCTCGCGCATTAACTCAGACCGCTACACCCTCAAGCCCGGACAGAGCCTCATTCTCGGAGGCGGCCTAATCCGCATCACGCCCACAACCCCAGACCTCGTCTTCCTCGTCCACCCTTTCGTCCCCCTCCACCCCCACATCACCCGCACCGACAAAGCAATCGCCTACCAAACCCAAACCTCAGACCGCCATCTCGAGTCCCTCCTCGCCCCCTCCGTCGGCCCCAAGATGCGTAGCGCAGGCATTTTCCCCCTTCGCTGGGACGCCACCAAGAAACTCGCCGGCCCCCTGACCTCCAGCGTCGCCGGCAAAATGAAACCCGAGAACCTCCCGTTTTGCATTTGGAGCACAGATATCCTCATCGAGGGCGTTGGCTGGGTCGAGGTTAGCGCCCAGATGCGCCGCCCCCATGGCTGGAAACCAGCAGGTATGCACAAGAAGGATCCGAACCACGCGCAGATTGAACGGCAGCGAGAGTTGCGCGCCTTGGAAACGTACAAGGAGCGCAAGTTTGCGGCCCTCAGGCGGGCGGAGGAGCAGGGCAGGGATCCCGAAGAGGTTTTGGCAGAGGAGTTCAAGGAGGAGGATGAGGATGCCGAGGAGGGTGCCGGTGGGCTTGGGCTTGGGCTTCATGATGACGACGAGTTGGTTCCTGCGGTCGAGGTGTTTAGTCCGTTGGGCAAGTATGTGGGGCAGAGGAGGCCCATGTGTGCGAGCTTGGTCAGTGGACCGAAACAGATTGCGGCGAGGGATCGCAAGATGCGGCCGAGGAGGAGCATGGTTAGTGTAAAGAACCAAAGGGCGCCAAAAGAACGATGATTATGACCATGTTTCTGGTGGTGTGGTGTGGTTCGCTGATGTGGCCGAGGGAGGGGGAGGTGGTAGTGATGACGGGGGCAGAGTTGTATGATAATTGTTATCAAAATAAGAATATACATGGAAAGATCAGTATAACTAGATGAAACTTCAAAAGAGATTTCACAAATGCCATCCATAGTCACCGCTATACTCCCCTCCCTACCTCCATCATCATGGATAAAGCCTGTCGTCCCAGAAAAAGATCTTCCACAAAGCACAAATGTGTTTTGTATATTCCCCAACATATACGTTGCGCATGACAAATAAAAAGACGAGAAGATCCATGCACATGCTTGCAATCAATGCTGGATGCCCAAATTCCTTATGCGCCCCACCAGTCTCCTTGCAGACGTCCGCCCACCAGTTGTCCACACGGGATATTTACCAACACTGCGTCCTGTGTCCTGCTCTTTTCCATGCATGCACCATTGTTATTTCCATGGCCTAGTATGTCTTCCCGATTCGCCAGGTCCACGCCTTGATCTGGGCCCTACTTGGGACGATCCTCTTTCTTTCCATTGTGTCATCACGCTTTGGGACGTTCAAACTTGTCGAGGAAGGGTTGCATTTCCTTTGCACAATCCCGACCATCCTTGTCGCAGCCGGGGAACACGGCGACGAGATCGCCGTCCCTGAACTGCCCGTAGCTTTCGGATGCGGGGCCAGAGACATAGGCGTTGAGGAGGTTCTGAGGCACCATTGCGAGTTTGGCCAGGATAGTGCCATGCCATCTGTATTTGATAGATTAGTATATGCTGCGCCGCCTGGCTAGCCCGATTCCATTGTACAAGATAGTGGGGGGGGGGGGAGAACGTACTGCACGATGTGCTCCAGAGCATGCGTTTCGGCTTTTTGAAAATTATAACTGCGGTAAATGGGATCAAACCAGACGTCTAAAAAGTATTTTGCCCATTCTCCGTTTCGTACGACAAAACTGCTGGGGGCAAGACCATCTTTGTCCTGTGTGACGACAAAGTCGATCCGGTCGCCTTTGAGGTTTGCAAAGGTCTTGATGACACTATCGGGTGGGACGACAGGTGCGTTGGTAATCATGACTTTCTCGAGACGCGCAGGGTTCAGGAGGTGTGCTTCGAGGGGTAGCGAGGGGTTCATGATGAGCGCGGTGGCATCAAGATACCAGAAGTACGTGGAGCCGGAGTGGACCGTCATTGCGTGACGAATGGCGGGAACGCGCGCCCAAGAGGAAGGAGCACCAGAAAGGGGATATGTGTCGGGGGAGGGGAAGAAGGTTAGATAGCCTGTATTGTCTCCCATTAGTGTTTCTGCTCGTCCAGTTCGCCATGCATGGCTCCATGGCAAGAGGGCAGGAGGGTTAGACGTACCGTGGCGCTTAGCGTAGTCGTCGCGGTTCTTCTTGATCTTCTGCGACCATGTTGGATCCGCCTTGGGGTCCAAGACAGTCACTATGACCACGGGTGGCCCACTGCCAATGGCGACCTTGGGAATGTTGACTGCCTCCCACCGGGAACCCTTTGATGGTTGGCCACCACCACCTATTATGCCAAGCAGCCATAGTGTGCCCATGAAGCTCAATATGCCCAGTGCTACCACTCGCATCTTATCTCGTCGCAACAGCTTCTTCAGCGCAGGCGGTATCATCGAGCTGTGGCCTCTCGATGCATAGGGCGGCGGCCGCGAAGTTTTCCGTGGAGGCATGGCGAAGTGCATGGTGCCGTGAAAGGATGTGTGTGCGTGTGCGTGTGCGTGTGCGTGTGCTTTGTGTGTGGTGCTTGTGTCAAGGTGGTACCTAGCAAAAGCCAGGTGCGGTCGCTGGTGGCTGAGGCCAAACGAGGGATGGTGGGCAAGCCAGTGGGCACAGGTTGGGCGGAGTTGTGAAGGGGGCGCAAAGGAATGGCTACGGAATCATGCTGCTATTCACGGTCGCGAAGACGTTGGGTGGACGGAGTAACGATTGGTCGTCGGGCAAAGTGGGCAGCGCGCAGTTTTCGTCTACTGCAAGGCGAGATGGGCTCGGAAAAGGGACAGAAACTGTGGTCATAGAGAGAGCGGGCGGCCATGGGGGGAAACGTGTTGGCCTCCAATGTCCCGACGACCCCCTGTCACAAAAAAAGGACCCTTACCTTGAGTAAGTACCATGGTACATAGAGTACTAGGTCTGTAGAGTAGATATGAGTACCCAGTCGCCGTTTGATACGGATTCGCTCCCGCGCATGTACATGCACGGTATTCAGTACACACACACACAGCTCTGCGTCGTCGGCAAAGTCTGAGCAGGTACTGGGTTTCTGCCCAAGACGTTGCGATCTTCGTCCTGAACATCTGGCATTGCTGGTTTTAATGTACTCGTTCGAGCTATTCGCTTTGATATCGAGTACCAAGGACATGCACAGGTACGTACCCAGGTGGTGGCTGTATCGGCATTGGCCAATTTAGGATACGTGGAATATATTACGCGTTGTACCGGTATTGCTCTCTCGCCGTTTGATTCGGTATTCTACTAGCGTCGTTTTTGAACGTAGCGCGATCCTTTGATCCTCCACCTTCCCCACCCTATCTTACCTACCCTACCACTGCTACGTTAAACACACCGACACTTGGCTACCAAATTACCATTACAAGGGTCACGATGCTGCCACCATTGGATCCTACCGTTCTACAACGGAATCCAAACTTTGAAGTTCTGTACAACGACCTATGCACTCGGAAATTGAACCCAGATGGATCAACACGCGACACGAGGAAGCAAAGAGTACATGATGAGATTAGGCGGGCAAGTTTTGTTCCTTTTCGCACTGCTGATTGAAATTACCGTACTCATTGCTTTTATGGCTCTAGAGATCCATTCGAGTTATCGCATCGTGTTGGTTTCACTTGCTTGCCAATGCCAAGGCTCTCGTCCACCTACTTTTGTTTCCAGTTGACTTGAGGAACAAACAAGAAAACATCTCATGACTGACCATAGTCACAGAGCCTTACAGCAGCCCGCACAAACTTCCTCTCGTCCCAAATTCTGCTAGCTTCATTATCCACCTTACCATCACACAACACCAATCTCCCACCAGAATTTCACTCTGCCGTCGAAACAGTATTAGCCCAACTCTCTGGCCAATTGCCAGACTCGGACCGTGAGATGCTCGCAGACGACACGGCCTTCTTCCTCTCCAACATCGCCACCATTTCTGACGCTCTATCCACCCAGCTTGCCGTCTCAACAAATTATCTCTGTACCATTGCCAATCCCGCCAACCCTCCGGCATTGGACGAACTGAACAACACAGCAACATGTCTACAAGACACCGCAACACGCTCCCTCCCTTTATCCATCCACCTCGCCCGTCAAGAACTCACCGACACCGCCTCCAAACTGCTCTCCACGCACCTCTCCCTCCTCAGCGCCAGTATTCGCATCCTTGAACAAACACAACACGGGGCCCTCGCTCGCCACACACGCACATCTGCCGAACTCCTCCACAGCCGTGCCACGCTCCTCGGCCTCGAGGCAAAATCCCACATGCTGGCGCATCCGCCGCCTGCCGAGTTTGTAGCGGCGCTCAAGGAGTTCAAGAAGGTGCAGGGTAGTGGGGAACGCAGTTTGAGAGATCGAGAGCAGTTGGCGAGGAGGGGTTTGGAGTTGTATGCGAAGGCTGGGGAGAAGGGGATGAGGGATTTGGCAAGGCGGAAGGTGTGGGTTGAGGGAGAGATTGAGAGGGTGGAAGGAGAGGTGCGGAGTTTGGAGGAGGGGAGGGGGATGGCTGGATGATGAGAGAGTAGAGGTGTTGAGAATACGACGACATGTTCGATTCAGCGCGACTATTGTGATGTGAGAACTGCAGTTGTAGTGTACATAGTTTGGAGTCAGGGATCATCGTTTTCCTATCCGATTGTGAGCTAGCCAACTACCTACCCCTACTACAGTGAGTACAAATACCGGTGCCTGCTCAAATCCACCGAACAGTAGTTTCGTCACCTCGCCACGCGCCCGAAGATCATCGGGGTGCGTGACGCCATAGATCTAGGTACCATGTCTACAGTCTGTAGGCAGATGTTGAGCTTCGTATTCGCAGCTTTCTGTTCCAACGACGGCAAGGCCAAGATCAATCCGGGGGAAATACAAGGCTTAGGGTCTAGACTACGGAGACGGCTCCGAGGAAAAGACCGAGATGATGGGCGGTGACGACAGCCAGGGAAGCGGTGTCCCATGATGAGATGCAACCGTATGGATGTTCGACTGTGTTAGAGTATGATGATGGCCGTGACTTTGGCCACCTTCCAAGGCCACACATACATACTTACTGTACAGTACAGTACACACCCCCAGACTAGACTTCACATGCTGGCACAACCACCCATCTTCAGGTCGTGCAGCCACCGAGCCACACGACCACATAAGCCCAAGAAGGGGCACAACTGTAAGCTTACGCCCGATCTCAGAACGCGTCGATTCGATTCGTGGTCTAGAGCACATGCAAGGGCATCCCGCGTCGCATGCGCCCTGTCCCTGTCAGCCCTGGTGGCTCGTCCCAGACCCCGTCGACGCCCACAAGTCATCGACGTCGCAACGACGTCTTCCCCCATCTCTTCGGGGTGTGGCTTGAGAGGCAGAAGAATTAGCGCCAACCACGACGGGAAGCAAAGATGACCTCAAGCCTCACCTCGCCATCGAATCATCAATCACCCTGCGCGCCGGACTTTTTTTTTTTTTACTTTATTTTCTGAGTTCTTGGGCCGCTCGTGGCCAAACAGGATTGGCGATGATGGGCGTTCAAAGGCGGGTTGGGTCGGCAAGCTTGAGGTCAACAAAGGGCCGGGCGAGCTAGTTGGCATGTGGACATGGAGATAGGTGGCTAGTACTAGTTGGGCTAGGCTGCTGTCTACACAGTTATGACGTCGTGGTGGTGGTGGTGGTGGTGGTGATCGACCCTGCCTGAGCTCCACCACAAACAAGGCCAGGGACAGGAAAGCCAGTATTAGCCATGCTTGCGTCGGACAAGGCTGTGTGTGTGTGTGTGTGTGGGTGTGTGTGCCCAGGTGGCCGCGAGCAGCGAAAGAGGGCACATATATCCCCGCATGCGCCCTGTCCGAGGGTACGATTAAATCCTCCATCTCTTTCTCTTCATCCTACACAACACCACATACCTACCACACACCCACAGTAGTGGAGACAAGGACCAGAGTAGCATACAAAACCCTGATCACACCACTACCACCACCTTCCACTTCATTGTCTCCTCCCTCATCACGCCCTCTTTGCAACACACACAAACATGGGTTTTGGTAGTGCCGCCCTCAAATTGGGCTCGACAGCCCTCTACGCCATTGAATTCGCTTGCGCTGCCATCGTCCTCGGCATCTACTCGTACTTTTTGTCCGTACAGGCTGACCGCAATGTCTCCATCGATACTTGGCAAAAGGCCGTCACCGGTCTGGCTGGCGGCGTCGTTCTCTACACCATCTTCGCCGTCCTATTGACATGCTTCCTCGGCGGCAAAACCATTTTCGCTCTTCTTGGCATGCTCTTCAACATCTTGTGCTGCGGAGCCATGGTTGCCATCGCTGTCATGACACGTGACGGTGCTCACAGCTGCTCCGGATTCGTCAGGACGCCTCTTGGCGACGGCGACTCCAACTCTAGGGAGGGTTTTGGCAGCAACGGCCAGGGAAATCAGATTACCTACGCTGCCAGCCTTGGAACGACCTGCCGCCTAAATACAGCTTGTTTCGCCGTATCCATTGGTGGAGCGTAAGTCTTACCCCACAATCAAATCAACACATGTTCACCAATTCCCAACTAACAAACCAACCAGCCTCCTCTTCCTCATCTCCGCGCTCCTGCAATTCTGTCTGCGCCGCAACCACAAGAAGGAAAAGGCATTTGGCCCAGGTCCTTCCAACAACTACACCAAGGGCTCCGGCGTCAAGTTCTGGCAACGTAACCGTCGCGCAAAGACCACCGGCCCAGTCGACCCTGAAGTAGGCACCGTCCCTGTCTCGGGCGGCGGTCTTGCTCCCCCAGTCGCGGCACACGACTACCGTGCTAGCCACGATACCGCGTACACTGGCTCGACTGTTACGGCCCCTGGTTCCAAGTACGAGCACAACAAGCCTGTTACGGGCGGTTACCACACTGCACCTGCAGGCACTTACCAGAGCCCTGCCACTAATTACTAAGTATTGCCCATGTGAGCGGATCGTTGAACAGAAGACCAGGAGATTGTCGGTTCATGGCACAACTCGTGCTGGTTGGAATTTGAATGAAAGTCACCATGAGTCATGGACATGACGTGGTGAGATGGATGTATCGATTTTACGATTTTACGCATGATACCAGAATGGGTGGAATGGAAGTAACTCAGCGACGTGTCTTTCGTTCTTTTTGTTATCCACAGTCGATTCGACGTGCAAACTACCATAATGTAATTTAATATAATTTATGAATTTACCCCACAATTACGCAACCTTTTTACTTTCAATGTGCGCTTCTGTGTCTTGTGGCTGTACAGTTGAACTATATGATGGGTATGAATTATTGTACATTTGATATCTAACACAGGAGACTCCCTGGCCTTCTTTCATCAATCAGACCTTGCAAAAGTCCAACACACGCATAACTTATGGGTATCATTTCTACGAGAAGAAAAACCCAACAAGGCCAAAGGAAAAGCAGAGCTCTCAGACACCCCAAGACGACGCCTGAGTAGTCCCACATCACCACGCCCCCTTACCCATCTAAATCTTGCCTTTTCCCCTTCCCCTCCCCCCACCAGTACCACTCGGCCGCCCCCTTTTCTTCGCCCCGCCACCACCACCAGCAGTAGCAGTAACAACAGGTTCCCCGCCCACCCTCCTCCCCTCAGCAGCCCGTATCGCACTCAATTCCATCTGCATATACTCCTCCAATTTCTCGTTTCGTCGCGCGAGCAGCATCACGTCAGCGGGCGTGATGACGCTACGGCCGGCATGGGCAGAGAAGAGTTCTAGGTCGTGGGATGTGTTTGCTGTTTGGGGGGAAGAGGTTAGGTTCAGATTGGCGATGTAGAAAGACATGGGTGTTGAAATCCTTGACGTACCGATTTGAGTGTACACGAGTTCTGTGAGGGCGCCGATGAATTGTGGGGTTGCGTTTAGGTCGCATGTCAGACATTCTTCGTCGACGAATTGGCCGATGGAGTACCAGAGGGCGGATTTGAGACGCTGGAGGGTTGTTTCTGGTCAGGTAGGGTTCTTTTGGGAGATGTGTGTGATATACCTCTTCGCGCTCGGCAGCGGCGTCGTCAGTGGTGGACATTGTGGAGATGGCTTTGCGGGGGATCGTAGGTAAATGGATATTGCGTCGGCTTATGGTGAATAAATTATCGAGCCTGCTTATTCACGCGCTCTGTACATCATCTAATCTCGCAACCGTGGTAGTGAGGAAGACGCGACGCGTCGACCAATCGCGGAGCCTCGGTCATGGTCGGGGAACATGTTACCGCCTTTGATTCTGCCGCGGTGCTTGCGATGGTTCATCAATTCCTTTGAGCCATTTTATTTTCGATCTGCATTTCCTTCTTCAACAATCCACTTTTCAACCCCTTAACCCCATCGACAGATTCGCATCACGCAAAGAATCAACTCGTTTACCAACCTTCGCGCCGAACTTCCTCCCAACCCCAAGGACTTGTGGGCCATTGGCACAAACAACGTCTCCACATACTCAGATCGCACCCCCGTTGCACTCGCATCCCTACCACTTGTCTACGACCTAGTCTAGAAAATTCGATAGACCCTCATCATGGACACCCTAGATTTCATCCTCGAAAACGTCGGCATCTGGAAAGATCGCCTCGTTAACAATTCAATCAAATCCTTCGAAGACATGACGATCCAGCGCTGGGTCCGCATCATCGCCATCGTAGGCGGCTACATGCTGATCCGCCCATACCTTCTCAAAGGCGCAGCAAATAGACAAAAGGCAGCAATGGCAAAGGAGGCAGAGGAATTGGGCTTGGAGACTAGTGCAGAAGCGAATGCAAATGACTTTAGAGGGGGCAAGAAGACGGCCAAGCAAAGTAAGACGGTGGATGGAGTTGGCAAAGATTAGGATGGGTCCATGTGAAGAACAGTGGTGGTGGGAGTGACGCGATTAGACGCGTGCTTGCATTCCAAAGGCGTTTTTGGGGTTAAGCTTTGCGAAGCTTTTTTCATGGGCGACACGTTGAGAGAGATGGAATGTGGAGACGTTATCAGGTCGACTCATTCCAGTTACGATCGATTGGATGTCGGAGGGTAGAGCATTCAGCACAATTGGATAATCTGAACAGACTTATGGGGGCCTTGCCAACTAATGTGCTCAACACGAAATGGATGATAGGGATAGAAGGGAACACCGCTTGAGCGCATTGAACCTCCACGTGTACTCGCCGACTCCAACACTCATTCTTTTACCTTGGAGCCCTGCCACCTGCTAAAAATATTCTCACATACACGCGACTAACGAAGCCAGGAATTTGACGCGTAAACTCTCTTCTCGGCCACTGCACCCATCCCTTACTGTCTACCACATATACTTTAGTATACTGTCAAGATGCGTCGTTTATCCAGCTCCTTTTGCACCTATTCTACATACACGAGGAGAACAGTAGTCCCTGGCGGATTTTTCTCACCGCAATATTCCAATCATGGCTCCAAACACTCTTCTTCGGGCCCTGGGGGCCACGGCATTTCTGTCCTCTCTCGCATCCGCCCATATGCAAATGCTCATCCCATCTCCTTTTCGAGATCCCAATGCCGACCGCAAAGATGAGCCAAAGGACTACAACATCCTCACTCCTCTCCATGCGGATGGCAGTGACTTCGCATGCAAAGGCTACCAGTGGAACACGCCGTGGACATCAGTTGCAACATATGAAGCCGGAGAGTCGTATAATATGACACTCAAAGGCACCGCCACTCACGAAGGAGGCAGTTGCCAGCTCAGCTTGAGCTGTGACGGTGGCATCAACTTCAAAGTCATCAAGAGTATCATTGGAGGCTGTCCATTGGAGAAACAGTACTCCTTCACAATCCCACCGGAGTTTGGAAAGACAAGCGAGACAACTTGCCTATTTGCTTGGACATGGTAAGTGACAGGAACAACACCTTCACCCATCAGAGGCGTCATCAGCTGACATCAGAACGTACGCAAGGTTCAACAAAATCGGCAACAGAGAAATGTACATGAACTGTGCCGTCGTCGACATCGTACCGAAAAAGAGGACGAGCGGCGGCGGAGGAAGGCGACCTAGCAGAAGCAGTGGTGGTTCCAGGCTCAAGGGCCGAGACGTTTCTCACGCCAACGCCGCAGCTCAATCCCTTCTCGCCGGCTACCCGGATCTCTTCGTCGCGAACCTCAAGAATGTAAACAGCTGCAATATCAGAGAGGCCGTCACTGTCGTTTTCGACGATCCGGGCCGTTCTCTCTCCTTCGGTGCTGGCCAAAGCGAGTCTGCAGCCCCTAGCTTCAAGCGCGGTACATGCAGAGGTGCAGGCTTGAATAGTGCAGATAGCGCTGCCTACTCATCTACCAGCTCGACGGGTGGTTGGAAGGAAAGTTTGAGTACAAGCGGTGGCCAAGATTGGACGTGGACGGGTGGCGATTCGTCTGATCAAAGTACCAGTGTATCGCATGGTGATGATGGGCAGTGGCATGGAGACAGCCAGACGAGCCAGGATTCCGCATGGGATGATGGACAGTGGCGCTCGCAGGGCCAGGCGAGCTGGAATGCGCAGCAAGGGGGAGCTGATGCTCAACTAGCGACCGCTGGTTCGAAACCGGCAAATCAGCAGGAACAGGTCAAGGCGAACTTGAGTCCGGTTGATTTGAATGAGGTGGGACAGCAGCCTGACGCTAATGTGCAGCGTGAGCTCGATGCCTATCTAGCGAAGCTGTACGGGAAAGCTCCGTCACACCAAAGGAGAGATGTTGAAGACATAGACAATCACTCCGCATCAGCTTACACGAATGTCAACCAGGGATCCGTCGGAAAAATCACCAGTTTTTCAGAGATCGACAATCGGGAGCAGACAGAAGTTACTAAACAGTTTGAGGATCAGACTTCTTCTACGAACGGTGCTATTGACTACTACAGCAATATCAACAAGAACATCTTGTATGACGGCACTAATGCACGTCTTCGGCGCACAACGCGTCAGAAGCGTTGGGAGTCTTATAACCAGGATAGTGTTGAGCCCTGGTCACCAAAGAAAGAAGAGGAATTCAAGAGCGAAGCAGTGTTGAAGAATGAAGCAGCCTCTAAGAGCGAAGCCGCACCAGACACCGATGCAACGACGGAGGAGAACCAAGAAGCTGTCGCCAAATCTGCACCTCAGGCTTCCACCAGCCGTAGTGATGATGCATTTTTCGCCATCATCGCAAACTTGCATAATCTCGGTGACACTTTCTTCACGCTTATCAAGTTTGCTTCAACCTATCTCGATGCTCCACCTCCACCAGGAGAATTCATCTTTGCGACAGTCAGCATGGATAATAGCACCATTGCCAAGATGGAAAAGCGCATGTTGATACAAGGCTCAGCAGAGGAGGCTTCCCACAGCGCGATGCTGATGGGAAAGCTGAGTAGCTTGCAAAGCCAAGTCTCTGCAGTATTTCAGTCTGTTGAGAAGAAGGTGAAGAGTCCTGCAGGAGTCTGGGATGGGTTAAAACGCTCTTTGATGCAAGCGGTATCGAAACGCCAACTTATTATACCAGGCATCATCCCCGCAACTATACAGAACAGCGAGGAGTTTTACCTTGATGGCCCCATGGCTAGTGTAACACCAGAAAGCGATGATCATAAGGAGAAAGACTACAGCGGACGGAAGCCACACAATCCACCATCCAAGATTGCCAAACGTCAGGAAGATGGTGTGGGGGAGCCCGGGGATGCGGAAGCGCTGTTCCCAAATGTAAGTCATGATTCGTTGTATGATGGGTTGGAGGATCCGAGTACAGCACAGCCGTATGACTGGGGTGCTATATACCCGGATATGGCTCAGGATTCCCCGGGGAGGATACCCGCTGTTGTTGGCCCGACGCCTGTGACGGACTGGTCATCTTTGGAGGAGGAATCGATGCATCGTGGTGGACGCTTGCCACCGGTTGTAGGGCCTACACCGGTCAGTGACTGGAGTACGGAGAACCCTGGAGCCAACTCCTCCGATCGTGAAACACCTAGTGTGCAAGCAGATGATATGGAAGACTTTGTTGGTGAGGAAGTCTCGCCTGGCCCCCATGACGGAGGACAACACAACGTGACGAGTTCTATGGCTTCCAATACTACGAGTCATGCTCTGCTCGGTACTACAATCCCGACCCCGTCTCAGACAGTGATACCGTCAGCGCCTTACAATGACACCAACGACAAAAACATGACGCTGGGTGAGGCTCTCAAACTTGCTTTTCCCGAACTCGTCCACCACGGACCCACTGATGAATCGATTGATCCACCACCTCGTTCTACCCAACCGAAGGAGGAGGAAGACTTGTGGCGCGATGGCGTATTTCCCTTCCCTCGCCAACTAGACGCCCGGCAGGAACTACCATCCCTCATCCCCACTCCCACTGAGCAGCCTTCCACTCCGAACCCCAGCACCAGCCTCTCGGCCGAAGATGAAGACCTAGTAGCCATCCTACCCTACCTCCTCGCCCCCGGACCCGTCATGCTCCCCGGCATGACCGGGGTCTGGCCCAACCCACAAGACCCAGAAGACCCTGGAAAGCTCGAGGCCATGCCCGAAGACATCAAGGACCTCACCCCGGAGGACTCGCAATACATCCAAAACTACTTCTCCGAAGTAGCCGCCCAAGCCCAACCCACGGCCCCCCCAACCCCCATTAGCAACCTGGATTCCCTCCCCCCTTTGATCAACGACCTCACACCCGAAGACGAATCCTCAGTCCGCGCCTTCTTCTCCTCACTCTCCGCCTCCGCCCACCCCACCCCCTCGCCCCCACCCCGCCTCCACGCCCGCCAAATCGACCTCTTCCCGCTCACTGCCCCGTCCCCAGTCCCCGTGTCCTCCACCTGCGCTGCCAATCGCACGGCGCTCCGCAACCTCCTCACCACCTACCAGGCTGCGCTGCGCGAGCCCTGCAACACGACGCCGTATGTGCAGATGAGGGGGCCGAGTCGGGTACAGATGCAAAATGCGCTGCGGCGGGAGTGCAAGGAGATGAGGAAGAAGGTGGGAAGTTCGATTGCGCTTGTTACGAGGGTTCTAAAGGGGGGGTGTGAGGACGTGGAGCAGTTTATGGTGGAAATAGGGGTTTGATGCGATGGTATGTTTCTCGTGGTTGCGCGTTATTATGACTGTGTCTTTTTTTGGCGTATATGTGAGTGTTTGCTGTGAATCTGACTTTTCTTTTTTGAGCGTAGCAGACGGAGTGTTGTTGACGTTGAGGGATTGTAAACTTGGTGGGGTAGACTTGGATGACATGAAAACAAGAAAGATTTTCGGTGTGATCAAAGGGCATTTATAGTCTCCATCATTTTCTGTTGGTGCGTCATTTTGTTCCCCTTTTCCATGATTCGATTCATCTCCAACACCATATTATTATTCAATTAGTGGATTTTCCCATACATCACGAAAGAATAGTCCTGCAATTACAGATATTCACCACAGTTATGACAGCCTAAGGAACATACCTAATCGATAATAGAACTTTTTATTAATAGTATTATTATAATTAGCAATGCCTTGATAGCTTATCGACTTTTCGTACACATATGTAAAAACACATCAATATATCAACATGTAACCTCGACCAATTTCCCACTCAAAAATCTACCTCGATACCAGAGAACACGATTAGCCAATCCACAAACTTTTGAAATATCATTATCGCTCCTGTAAACGCCATGATTTGCCTGTCCTAGGCTCCGATTTTCTAAAGTCGCAGCATCGTCCTGGAGGAAGGTGTCGTATCGTCGTGTTTATGAAAACATTGTCCGTCTATCTGGCGAGCGAGTCGTTCCTCACAATAAAGAATCCGGGAAGATGACAGAGATACGATCAGAATATTGCCATGGAAACGGGTTTAGAAGCGTGCTCCCATGGCCCGCTCAGCCGTGTCTGGGGTTGGCAAGTATCTAAGACCTGGCAGTGGAGATGTCGGTGGGGCCCTCTCAAACCTGGGGATCGGTTTAGACCGTGGCTTCGCCTCTGAATCGTTCAACTTGAGCTTCGAAGCTGACTTGGACTCGGTAGCTGATTGATGTTCTATGGCCGGAGCTGGTTCCAGAACTGGACTTGGCTTTGATGGCTTCTTTAGGCGTTCGGTTCCTGCTACTGCCTTAGGTGAAGCTGCAGCGGCAAATTGCTCCAGTGTCTCTCCCCGATGTAGTGCACTTTCTTGTTGTGCGCGGAATTCTGCAAGCTCTGACTCATGCACAGGCTTTGGGTCGTAATATCTGTAGATCATTTCACCTTTTTGCCCCGGCAATCCAGGTGCTCGATATTCAGCCAATCCAGTCTCTTCGTTATAGCTCTCATATGTAGAGACAAGGCGCTTACCACCACCACCTGGCAGATCAATGACGAAAGCTGGCATCATAAAGCCCGACAGGGTACCGCGCATCAACTTGTCAAGCCTGAGAATTTCGCTGAGCGGGGTCCGGAGGTCCTCGATGCCCTGCACCATGTCGCATTGGTACACATAATACTGGGTGTCTGTTAGTAGTGCTTGGATTTCAAACATAGCAGGCTTGTCTCACGGGCTGAATGTTGATATTGGCTAGAGTCGTTATGAGCTCTTTGATGGCATCAGGGTTATTGTTGACGCCATTCAAAAGTACAGTTTGATTGCGAACAATGACGCCATGCGCAAAGAGTCTGCGTGCAGCCATTCTCGTGACCCATGTGATTTCACTGGCATGGTTGATGTGCGTGTGAAGACACACTTGCTTGCCTAATTTCCGACCTTGATTAGAGATGTCCATCAGTGTGTCCATCCATCCGTCGTTAGTATCAAGAAAGCGGCCAGGTGCGACCGATAGCCCTTTGGTGGCGAGCCGGATGCGAAAAATATGCGGGATACTCAACAGACTAAACAACATGAGCACATACTTTCACTGAGGATCGAAATACATACCGTTCTACAATTTCCCTGAGAAGATGCGGCTCGAGATAGAAGATGTCGCCTCCAGAAAGAACAATGTCTTGTAGGGAATCATTATCCTCGATATACTTGAAGATGACTTCCCACCGCGCGCGATTTGGTTTCTGGGCTCTCTTTGCGACTGTATCTGTGTTCCCTCCAACCGCGTAGGATCGGGTACAAAAGCGGCAATACACTGGGCAAATGGAAGTGGCTATTATTGTCAGTTACAGAGTGATGCAGTAAAGGGGAAGTTGAACAAAAGAAGGTTTGGCTTACCCAGAAATAAAGCTCTACCGGGGTATCGATGGACCAGTCCAGGAACAGCTGAAGATCGTTAGCAAGACCAGGGGGGACATTGAACCGACGTACGACTGTCAGCCTCTTCGTTCAGCGAGTCCAGTTTCATGTGCTCATGGTCAGGGATCATTCCGCTCTTGAGGGGTAAGAATTGTCGACGAATCGGATCATCCAGGGGATTATTCCAGTCAACACGAGACAAGATGTGTGGTGTCAGACGGATTGCCATTGGAGCCAGCTTGAGGGCACTTATAGCATCTCTAATGAAGTCTTCTTTTGTCCTGATATGCTTAAGATGCTCATTTTGGGTAGCTCCCAAGACGTCTGGGAGTGTGTCGGACAAGAAACGGTACAATTTGGCATTGTTCATGACAGTATTATTGAGCTTTGATTGTTAGCCATGAAAAATGTTATATCAGCGAGAATATCGGATGAAGATGGTCAAATATCATGACGTACCTGCCATCGATGGGAGATGAATTCCTCATGGGTCACGTCCTTCCATGTGGGTATAGCTGTCCAGTAACGTTCCTGGTGAGAGTACGTGGATTGGAAACGCTGAGGTATAGCTACACGGGAAAGGATTGACCGTGAAGCCCGGACGTGGAAATTTACTTTTGACAATAGCATTTTAGATGCACCTCACGCTCTTCCCTAATGAAAAACAGTCGTACCTATTCAGGTGGAGAGATGGAGACGAAATGGCTGATTGGGGGCCGACATTGATTAAATAGCAACGGATGCATTTGACTGCTGTGAAACATAATTTTGCTGTCCACCTGGCTCACCTGGATCCTCATGGCCATGTCGAAGGACCTAACGCCACCAGTCACACTCAAGGTGCATATGATATCATTGCTAGCATGAAGATTCCGGGTCATACATTGTTTTGTCAAGGGGTTGCTTGACAGCAGCTTCGTCTCCATCGCTTGCTTTGTGCAAGACTCCGTACTGTGCGCCGAGAGCATGGTGAATGGGACCGGATGTTACTTCCGTGGCGATCGTCCATGCTATGATTGGTGAAGATGATTATAAACTGTCGGGACCATATCATTCCAATGGAGTAGCGGCCTGGGGTCTAGGTAAGATGCGTCCATCGAACCCGGCTTGGACGATGATAAGCTACTAGTAGCATTAAATGTATCTGAAGGCTGCCTAAGCGCCTTATGAGGCAATGGCATGCGAGGATCATGGGTACAAGTCCCGAAAGTACACATCCTTCGATTTGAACAGAAGAGAAGCGAGGAAGACGGTAGCGAGATGTTGATGGTCGGCAACGCCTAGGTAGCCGTCGTCGGCTGTAGTTATGAGCAGTCAGTGATTACCCTCAGAGCAATGAACAGCGACGAATAGCCCGAGAGGTGAAGGTCGAAAGTTCACGACGATCTCAAGCCACGCAAACCCGGAGCCCGTAGGCTTGGTACAGGCTAAGTCTTGGTTGGGTACGATATGGTGCCACTGGAAGGACGAAGAGTTGTCGCGTAGTTGCACAGCGGGCGTGCGGGAGATGGTGCCCACAAATCGGAGCAAACTTCATACACACTAATTTGAGAGGATGCGGACCCTCGACTGCAGGATTCTGAGGCTGTTCAGACTGGCAGGTAGACTTGCAGAAAAGACGAGAGGCGTGCTTTGCTAGGTAGGGTAGGTATCATCGGTGAACAACGGTCCAACGCGTTGAGCAGATTACGGGCCGCGCCGCATAGTGTCACCCGCGATTGGCGATGGCCAGGTATATGAATAGGTAGATATTGATCTGGGAAGGGTAATGGGTATAGGGGGAAGGGAGGGTAGTGGTAGTTACGTGGGTGTGTGTGGTTCTATCAGGTCACACGAGGAAGGGATTGAGTATGTTGATGGGCCATGAAGGCTACACAGCGAGATATCCGAAGGAGTTACGCGCCCGGACTGCACAGCTCCACTAACTAGGACTAGCGCCTGGAGGCTTGTTCCTGCGACGCCGAAGTAGCGCCGCCATGCCAAGAACGATCATGAACAACACACGAAGCACGACAGCAGATGATCATCTGCTCTGCTCTGCTCAATCCAACAACCCACGACGACAACGACCGACGACCATATCAACCATATCAACAAACACAGCTGCAACAAACAACAACAACAACAACAACAACACCCAAAAATAGAAACAAGAACAACTAAAATCTCTCATCCACAAACATGGCAGACGCTGCGATGCCCGTGAATGCAGCCGCATCTGGCGAGTCTCCCGCGCAACTCAAGGCCCGCTTGAGAAGGGAACGTCTTGCTAGCAAGAGCAGTGGTGCATCACGTCTACAGAAGATCACTGCATTGCAAGGAGGCCCCCCCAGAGCGCTCAGTGAAGTTGAGAAAGACGTGCCAGGTATAGTGGTCCTTTATATTGCATCCGCGGATGCAGGCTCGCCTCTAGCTATGCCCATCTGCTCCCTTTTGTCCAATCTGTGCGGGGATCCGCGCCGACAGCATGGCTAACTGCGCCGTCTAGTCAAACCCTCTACACCATCTCAGTTCAATCCTGCAGCAGCCTCTGGCACCGCAACACCGGATCCTGAGGAAGAAGACATTTCGCAGCACCATTACACGCCCGCCTCTCAGCCTCGACTCCCCTCGCCATTTGCTCTTGATGGCAATACAGGTGGCCCTTTCGGTGATGCTCCCGGATCCGACCCATCTCACGATCCCATGATGGCCATGCTCCAGCAGATGATGGGTGCAGGTGCCGGCGGAATGCCATCCGCCCAGCCAGGTGCAGCACCTGGAAATCTCCCTCCTGGGCTAGCGAACATGTTGTCTGCTATGCAGGGTGGAGCTGCTCCTGCCGAACCATTGCCAGAGAAATCTTCCGCCTGGATGTGGCATCTCGTTCATTCCATCTTCTCGCTGGGTCTAGCAATCTATATTGTGTTGCAGACACCTTTCACCGGGTCCAAGCTGTCGCGTGACAGTGTCGTAGAGGAGGATTGGACTGTCGAGTCAAAGTCTGCGCATAGCTTTGCAAATTTCTTCTATCTGTTCGCGACATTCGAAGTGGTAATGCAGTCGTCGCGCTACTTCATCGAAAAGGGCCAGCTACAGGGCAGTGGCATTCTGAACACAGTGGCAGGCATTCTGCCGGCGCCCTATTCCGGTTACATCAAGACCATTGGACGATACAGCGTCATTTATAGTACCATCATGAGCGATGCCATGGTAGTTGTTTTCGTTCTGGGCGCTTCGAGCTGGTGGCGCGGCGCCGTGGTGGCATAACTCTCATCACAGGAAGAGGCTAATGGCTCAACAATTCAAGACGCATTCGTCCTCATGACCATGTTACCACGCTTCTGTATACCCTGGTGATCACCATACAGCCGGCTACTCTTACTCTTAAGGCAGGCGCAATGTATGCACATCATTGCCTCGTGTCGAGGTGCAACGGATGCTGTCACCGACTATGCTGGACATCAATACTTCTAAAGACCGCAAGTCGTGCATGATGCCCCGCATGCATGCACAGATTCCTGGCTGTCAAACCTCGCGTTACCCAACAGCGATTCGACCGGTTTTTTAATCAGCTATCAGCTCACCCAATGGACCCAGGTTACAATATCATCTGCACGTCAGGTCACTCAACCTTCCAGTTTCACTCGCGCGACAGCTGCGATGACACCCATTCACGTTGACATCATCCTGCGATGAATTCTTAACACCTTGTATATGAACCACGAAGTCTCCTGCATGAGCCGTTACATGTCGGACACTAGCCTTTCCGTTGAGCAGCCAGCAACCGCTTCAGTGGCTACCGGCACAGAGCCACAACAGCTACCTACACAACGCTACTGTGCCATCCTAGCACGGAAAAAACGTTGGCTCGGTACTGGACGCATTCATTTTCGGCATTCCAGGATTGCATGTGGGGAGTGTGCGCCCTCTGGCCTTAACCTGCTTTTGTGTTTCCATCGGGAAGGACCCATGAAGGGACCCATGAGATTAGGCGGTTTCAGTAATACCTGTTGCATAACGCCAGCCCCAGCTCCGCGGCCACAAGACTTCAGGTCTCCTTCAGACTAGGAGTGTATAGGAGCTGTATAACATGTTTAGCTCATATAAAACGAATAATTAGAACATGAAGACTGGCTCCCAGCTCAATCACCTGGAACTGATATTTTCACCATACTAAGCCTCGCGCTGGAATGTGAAACGGTTTGATGAGTATTTAGAAGAAGCACGGTAGAGAGGCTTTCGGGTGCATTAGACGCACACTCTGCTCGACTATTACTATCTCTCAACTCTTTCTTCACGTCCAGATCCTTCGCAACAGGTACCGGTAAGCTAATAACAAGACTGGGCCGAGTGTGCTTTATTGTACTATGGTCTTTGCTAGGATGTTCAAAGTCCAAAGATATTCTGCTGGGGTACCTCTACCTGCCATGAGATACTCTGCAGTCAAATCGGCAATCGAACCATCGCAAAAAGCAAAGCACATGCAGGTTTCCGTTTGTTCACGCATTCGCTGGAAGATGGCTTGGTGATGTTATCGATAAGTACCTAGGTACTGTACTTCCAAAAGTTAGGGGAATATCCGCCAAGCCTCCATCACGCTAAATTCGCCTCCCGTCCGCATCTCGAAATCTCGCGACCGCAACGACGAAGTGCAACTCTCCCACATGAAACCAGACATGGTTGAACTATTAAAGCGCATGCGCAAGCTCCACACGGTCAGAACCACAATTGCTACTCTTTCCATTGCCTACACGCTATAATATAAGAAATACGTACTGACGTCGGTTGTAGAGGGTAAGAATGTTTTTCGCCGCAAGACACCTCCGAAACCGCCGCTGCTCGCAGATACGATTGATTACAAGGAGGGAATTTCGAGGGGAATCTGGCAATGTAGTAGTGCTGACTATGTTGGTTGTTTAGTTATTATGGATAAGATGTGGACCTGGAGCGCTCATATTGCCAAAAGAGGTGTCGAAGATCAGCATGGAGTTTAATACCAAGCTATATGGTGGACATCGGGGGGCGAGGTATGTTCCATGACACCAGTTCCCTATACTCTGGCATTCCCAGCTAAAGCACCATGACCGGGGCGGACCTCTCTCCCTTCCCTCCTCCAATCTGCAATCCATAACCCAGATGCAACCCCACTACTACTACCTTCAACACGACCAAAAAGCGAGCATCATTACGCACACCAAACTAACATTACCGGCCCTCCCCCCACAGAAAATTCTGGCGCGAAATGCTCCCGAGAATGAAATACCGCAACCCCACCGTCCTCATGGAAATCCACCGGCACACCCAGGCAGACGGCCCCTCCCTCCTACACATCTTCACGCACACCAAACCCACCGCTACCCCGCAACAACCACAACAACAACAAGGACCGGCCGCGTCCACACCCGAGGCCCCAACCTCGGAGCCCACGTACACGCTCAACATACGCGACCAGCAGGAATCCGAGATCCTCGAGACGCTGCTCAAGACGCTGCCGGGGTGCCAGGAGGTGCCGGCGACGGAGGCGGATCAAGAGAAGATGAAGGAGTTGGCGGAGAAGAGGGAGCGCAGTGAGATGGATAGGCAGTTGATGCGGGAGACGCTGCTGATGGAGCGCAAGGAGGCGGAGATGTTGAAGTTGGCGAGGGGGGAGACGGATGCTTCTTTTGCTTAGGGAGGGCATAGGTAGGGGGCGTAGGGGTTGGGTGGATTTGTAGGAATATCTTAGTGAGCTGTGTTTGGGTGTGGTGGATTACAAAATATCTGTGTAAACAGGAGAATGGCTAGATTATAACGAAAGGTCACCAATTTTTGGATGAAAGGATGGCATGATTTACTTGCATGGCACGCTTGTAGTCACGACGACTCTGATCATACCTACCAGGTCCAACAAATAGCAGACATCACAAATTACAATCCACACAAAAATGCATGGCTGCACCACGCGAGAATGATTTCAACAGGCTTCAATTACATTATCCAACCATCTTCCTAAAAAAAAATTATCCTCCACAACTGTCACCTTTTCCGGATCCCTTTCCTTCCTTTTCCTTTTCCCCCTTTTTGCCCCTGTACATGCCGCAGAGCAGAGCGGATTGAATCAAAGTGTGGTGTTGTATATGTATATATATACATATGCATGTATATCAAGTCCCAGCACGCGGGGTCCCATGCTACAAGTCTTGGACCGTGGTGCGCATTTCCCGTCGTGTACGTGGCGAAGAAGAAGGGAAGTCTCGATTGCTTATTTTTTGACTACTGCGCACGTGGAGCGGCAGCTTCGCGGGGAGTGGGGCCAGCCATGCGCTTGCTCCTAAATATGAATTAGCATCTAGACTGTTCTTCGACGAGACCAAGGGGAAGGGGTAGAGGGAATAATCGTACATGAAGGACCTGCTCAAAAAGGAAATAATAATCATAGGCATCCAACTTGGCATCTTGCTGAAACCCCATGTCGCATAGCCGTAGGGAACCGCGAGATTATATTGCTGTAGAGCGCCGTTGAAAGGGTGAAAAATGCCCTCATACGGCTCGACTTTTTCAATCTCCTTGTCGAGGATGAGTTTCTTGATGGTGTCGACAGTGGTGGAGGTGCGATTGAGCGGTTGGTAGCGGACGGTGGGTACGGGGGCGGATTGGTCGGCAAGAGGCTTGGGGATCTGGAAGTAGTAGAGCGAAGGGGCGCCGATGGACCAGGAGTTGCAGAGAATGTTTTCAGTTTCGCAGTCTAGATAGGCGAATTTAGGTGGGTTGGGGGCCGCGGCGATCAAAGGCAGGGAAGCCTGTGGTATCTTTCGTTAGCGCGAATTTCTCGCAATGAAGCGTATCATGTAAAATAGGATGGAAGGACGTACGTTCCAGGCCTTGGTGACGTTTGCGCAAAGTCCAAAGCATGTCGAATTCCCGCCTGTGCTGAAGACGAGCCAATCTTGCGTTGTGGGCGGGCTGGCCGTTGGGTCAACCGTTAACACTTCCTTCCAGTTTTCTAGAGTAAGCGGGTGTTGGATGACTTCCACCACTTTGGCGGCGGCGGCCTCCTTGGCCGCCTCGACGGGCGACGAGGGCACGCTGGGAATAGCAGACGACACGGCTGCGGTTGCCTGGCTGAAGAAGCCCTTGATCTTGTCGAGCAGCGGGATTTGCTGTTGCTCGGCGACTGCGAGAGCCGGGAGGGCTAGCAGGAGGGGAGAGGAGAAGCGCATGCTGCCTTGCGGGGAGTGGGGGTAAATGTGGAGAGGGGGATTGATGGGGTAATGATAGTGATGATGATGACGATGATGGTGATGAAGAAGAAGGCTATGTATGCAAAGTTGCAGTAGTCCCCAAGGCTTGTAGTGTGTTGTGTTCTGGGCGCTTCTTCTGCCGGATGATGTAAACAGGGTCCCGAGTCGCAGGCAGAATGTGGGGGGGAAGGGGAAGGCGGAAGGCGGCGGCAAAACCTCTTTTCAAGTGACAAGGACCTCGGGAAGCAGGCAGAGCAAAGAGGCGATCAACACGTGTCTGGTGTCGCACAGGATCGTCAATGCAAAACAAACTGCAAACAACAAGCGACAGGCGAGAGGGAACAGGTAGCAGGTAACAGGTGACGGGTAGCAGGTAACGGGGTCTGTGGACACTTGGGGAAATAATACGGAATAGGGATGGGCGAGCTAGAGTGATCAGAGGTGAGCTTTGGCCGGAAATGATTGGTTCATTACTAAGCCTGGTGGCCTTGGCTCTGTTTGCGGACTAGTGGGCTGTGGCTGCACACGTGATTCACACCAAAACGCCACACTCGAGAACGTACGATGATGCAAATGGCTGAAATGGCTTCGTGTTGCATCCGACTTTGTGTCGAACAAGAATATGGCACTTGTACGACAATCTCCTCTCCCAAGTCTTTCTCTAAACTCCCTCCCTGGCCCCCCCAATCTCACTTCCTCCATCGTCAATCGCAGCCCAATCTTCTTCCTGTCCCTGTTCCTGACCACGCTCTTTAGCCTCGATACCCCGACTATGAGTCGTGTTCTCATACAGCTCTTGTCCGCCCCGAGCGGCGTTGTTGTCATTTATGTTGCCAAGAGACACAGGTTGCAGAGAGGGGCCAGATTGAATGGCGGATAGAAGGCTGTGCAGGGTGGAGTTGCGGAGGGGAACTGGAGATGGTGCTGATAGTGGCGTAGGAGGAAGGGCTGGTGTACCGGTAGGACGAGGAGGAATTTTAGGCCCGCCTGCAGCATGCCTATCCACATCCAACACGCCTGGTGCAGTATGTGTAGGTGATATGTCCCCCCCACTCGCTTCTTCCAAGACATTCAAGTTGCTAAAATCTCGTGGTAACGTATCTACTTCACTTTCTCTCCTCACGCCTAAAAAATCATCACCTGCATCTGGAAACTGCTCTCTTAAACGTTCACCTTGGAGCGTGGGCGGGCCGTAGGAAAAGACGTGGCCGGGTGGTGTGTCGTGCTCTTGTTGAACGTGTGAGGACTGTGGTAGGGCTTGTGTGTGCTGATTTGATTGCGCGTGAGAAGTACGAGGTCAAGGAACACGCGCCGAGGTAGGATGAGCATGTTGCATGTCTCGCTCTGCTGTTTGTTGCAAGGCAGAGGGATGGGACTGGGCGGGGTGGGAATGCGAGTGCGATGAAGCATGTCTGGGTCCTTTGTCCTCTCCTCTATCACCCTTTCCACCACGCCTCCCACCCCCCTCTCTTCTTCCACGTCCTCTACCCTTTCCTCCACCGTCCCCCTTCTCCATCCCCACCCCCTTCCCCCTCATCTTATCCAACCTCAACTCCAACGCCCCCCTCTCCCGATGCCCCGCCTCATGCTCAGCCTTGATATGCCTGTACGTGTTCAAAAAGTGCTCTCCGAAACCCATGCCCTTTTTCTTCTGCGGCAGGCGGCCAAAGGGCGTACCGTCTGGACCGCGAGCATGATGGGGAAGAGACGGGCGGGGGTAGGTATGGAGTTTTGGGGATTCGGGAGGATGTTGGTGGTCGTGAGGGCTTGGACGAGCGTGGGTTTGTGCGTGTGCATGTTCGTTCGATGGCTGCGTGCCCCGACTCCCCTGGCTCCGAACATGATCGGAGTGATTGTGATCCCGAGACTGTTCGTGGGAGTGATGGTGGTCTTGTGTCTGCGTTAGAACGGCACTGCCTGCTGCGGCTCCACCCATCAGAAGCATGGGCTTATCATGCTCCTCTGTCTTGCCAGCCTCGCGTTGCGTGACTAGAGCGTCGAGATCCACGGGGATAGTATGTCGTTGTGCTTTAGCCTCGTCTGTATGTCTATTCTTACCCCTATCTCTATTGCCATGCCTATCCCTTTCCCCATCACTTTCCTCATGCCGCCTCCTCCTGTCTTCTCCATCTCTCCGTCCCCTCTCCTCCGTTCCCCTCTCCTCTCTCCTCCTATCCTTCTCCATCTTACTCTCCCTCCTAAGCCTATAAATCCTAACCTCCTCCACAACCCCCTCTAGCACTAATCTCCGCGTGCTCAGCCGCGCCAGGTGCGGATCGCGCGGCCGGTCTCCAGAAAGTAGGGCTTGGATGCGGGTTTGGACCTGGGTGCGGTAGGGCAAGGTGGATTTTGGGGGTACGGGCATGAAAAGGAGGATGTGGGTGTGGATGATGCTTGTCTGGGGGAATGTGTGGGGGCGTGGGTGTGGGCAAAGCCGTGGTGTGGTGGTTGTGGTGGTGGCGGGGTTACGGCAGGTTTGGAAGCGGGATATATATGTGGATGAGTGAAGGTGTTACTGTGCTATTTGGAAGTGTCAGAGAGATATATAGGCGTGTTGGCTAGGGGTACGTGTATGTGTGTGAAGGAACCATGTGTTGGATAGTAGGCCGGGACATGGGCGACGGGGTGATTGTGAATGTAGAACGTATGAAGTATCAATTTAACAGAGTGTTCATGCATGGTAGGGGGTTTGGGTTTGCGTATGTGAAGAGCCTGTGAGATGTCATAACGTGCAAACCGCGAGGTAAGTTCAAACCCCGACATTAGGTCGTGAGCTTTGAATGTTCATACAGTCTCATTCTGTAGCAAAGCAGGAAAGATTCAATCAAATAGGCAAAAATATATTTTAGAAGTTAAGGCAAGGGCAAGTTGAATGTATATATGTACATGAATAATCATCCGCTTCTTCATCTCTCTTTCCATCTTCAATCTTCTCAATCACCAAACCTCTGGAATTACTACCACCTAGTTGTCTTAACAGCTCCCATAGTCTAAGCAAGGCACTGCGAGTAGTAGTCATTCATCTTCACACACTTGAGCGTGCCCTCACACACAGTCGGGCCCTTGAAACCAATGCCTCCACACTGGTAGTACATCTTAGCCGCGCCCGTCACACCCGTAGGCGCTGCGCTGCCACCAGTAGGCGCCACGACCGGGGCATCAGGCGTAGGGCTAACAAGGGTGGCAAAGGTAGACGGGACACCGGGCGCAACGGTGGGAATGGTATAGTTACCAGCTGTAGGCGCGGGCGCACGGGTAGAAAGAGGGATCACAATGCTAGTCTCAGCAACAGCAACAACAGAAGAGGCAGCGGCGATGGGTGTCTCAACTGGTGCAACGGCAGTGGGACCAGCGATTGTGGAGTTCAGGGGCGCAGGGACAGGAGTGGCGCTAGGCTTTGAGGGCGCAGCACCGCCTGCTCCGCCGCAGGTAGCGATGGGGCCACCGGGGGCAGAGTAGGTGGATGCGTCGAAGCCGTTGTAGACATTGGGGATGTAAACATTAGGATCCTCGGCTTTGTAGGCGCCTGGGATGGAGATTGTGGGTCCGCAGGAGCCGGAGCCGGAGCCTGTGATTTTGAGTTGGGCGCAGCCCTGGTGGATAGGTTAGAATATCTCTCTAGCTTTTCTACTATAAACAAGCTTCGATGTGGTTGAATCTGGGCTTACAATGTAGAACTGGGCACCGCCGACTGTCTGCGCAGCGTGGAGGGCCAACATCTCAGAGCGAAGGAGATACTCTCCGCTGGGAAGACCGGTGGGCAGAGTGAATTCATGGGTCATGTTCTTTGCACCCATGATTTCGTTCGCCCATTTCCCATCGACGTTGTTGAGCTCGTCGATCTTGAACCAACCGGCTCCAATACCAGTCTCCTGGGATGCATCGTCGACAGGGCCGAAGAGGAAGTGAGTGATTGGGCCAGGATGGCCAGACTGGTCCCATTGGACCTTGATAGTGTCCCCCTCGTTGGCCGGGATGGTGTCAACGCCCGAGGGAACTTTGGAGCCGTCGACGTTGCAGGCCATGTCGTTTGATGTTATGTCTTCGACGGGGCTGTTGGAAGGTGGCATGCGGATACCGGCTTGGTAGCCAGGAGTGACATCGTTAATCCAGAGTTGGTGCCAGTTCTGGTGGGCTGAGACGGCAGAGACGAAAGCCGTCGCGAGGATAGCTTTGGAGAACATGGTGAAGATTGTGATATGAGGATAAAGAGGTGAATGAATGATGTAGTATGTGCAGCGACTTTGCAAAGTGGACGAGTGATTCCTGATCACAGTAATGAATGTACGGATTGAAAGAATGAATATGCGCAACCAAGAGAATGCAGGAGATTGTGAAAAAGGACTGGCCCGTTGTGAATGATGGAAAGGCAAGAACAAGGCTGGCAGTCCTCAGCTTTTAAGTCGGAGCCAGACCGCCTTACCGCCCGACTCTGAATCTGCCTTTGCAAGATTTCATCCCGTACATCGGGGAGGATGAATACATTATTCGCAGTAGCCGCTGTCTCCACCCCGAGAAATCAATAGAAGAAAGGCATGCATGACGAAAGCCGAATGCGATTCTTCTACATGTGGCAGCGACTTTGCTAAGCTAGGCGCAACGGCCGAGAATAGTGATGCGAGAGGCAGTAGCCGAGATTGAATGGAAGTGGTGGCGGAGAAACGAGTGTTTCCAAAGGCGCTGTATCGGGTTAGTGGGCGCGTGGTGGTAACGGCTCATGGTGTTTCAAAACGTGGTCTGCATCCTGCGTGCCCCGTTCGATTCGTGTTTGAAACATCCAGACTGCAAAATCGAGCTGGTCAGAGATCCAGGTGCAAAGGATAGCATGAGATCGAACGAAAGCTCTCCTGCGTTAGAGCCAGCATGAGAAAGATGTAATGACAAAGTTAAAGGGGAGAGTTCTTGAACTGTGGTGGTATGCGACCATTGTGAGTGTAGTTCTGCTAGTACTATAGTGTACTTGCCTTGGCAATTGACATGTTGGGTTGGTTCCCTACACACTGTCAAAGTGCTGCACCTCACGAGGCGCTGGAGTGGCGCGTAGGTTGGTTGGACAGTGCACCGGAGAAATCCTTCCCATACCCGTTCCTCGAAAGGATTGTTCCCATGGTTGAGGGCGCAGATCGCAATCCGCATGAGAGTGGAGAAGAGGGAACACGCTGGTGATTTGCACTGTTATCTGACTGGCTCAGTAGGCATGGTCAAAGCAGCGTGATGGGAGCTGGATAGTATTGTCATCGTGGCTGATAAGCCTTTGATGTCAGACGCTGTGTCTATGATGGCGCTTATCTTATCATGGTCATCAACACTGCTCCATGCAGTTGGCAAGATGCAATTCGTTAAGAGGGCCGAGGGGGAGAGGCTCTACACAGCCTTGAAGTATAGCAAGCAGACAGTGAGTGGAAAGAAGGCGTTGGCCAAGATGGATGGAATCGAGATGGACCTTTTTGGCCATGGGCACATTCGTGGCAGGAGTACTTCAATATGCTGGCGCTGGTGAGCACATGCTCCAGGTCCTGAGATGCCATGAAGAAAATCGAGGCTATTGCTGTCGTTCCGGATGGGGTGATGTGGTGTTAGATGGAGTAGGACAGGAGTCGAAGAGGCTTGCGAAGAAGATGGTTAGACTCGGACCATGTTTTGGTGAAGGCGCTGATGATGGGGCCCAGCTTGATCAAGAAGAATAAGAGCATTGACACGGATGTGTTTGCAGTGAACAGGCTGCTGTCATGGTTGCTATTGATGGCTGTGGTGTTTGAGGTCGACTTGGATGGACGAGGCGGTTCGCGGTACCGAACCAGTACCGGTACGCCGTGGAGTTGGGTATGCGGGGCAACTTGAAGTGATTGGCGCGTTCTACCGGTACGCTTCCACAAGTTATGCTCAGTTTATGCACAGGGGTCGCAAAGTTCAGACGCGGCCTCTTTTCTTGCCTCTGTTTGGCGCAGAGAAGAGAGAGAGAGAGCGAGAGAGCGAGAGAGAGAGAGAGAGAGAGAGAGAGAGAGAGAGAAAGAGAAGAGTTTGGCGGTTGCGAGGCTTGTATGCACTGGTAAAGTACTTGGGGATGGTAACAGAGACGGTCACATGCATGCCTGATGGGTCAGAAAGGGACAGCCAGCAGTCACTCCCTTTCTGCCTCTTCACTATAATCCAGTATACTATTACATAGGTACACGGCCTACATACATAGCTACCTTAGCTACATTTCTCTCTCTCCTCGCTGTATCTCATGGCCGTGCGTCGGCGGCCAACAGCAGCGGCCCCTGTCGATGTTTCACGTTGAAGAAGGGGGTCAGAAACATTCATTCCCATCATCATCATCATCACCATCATCATCGCCAACAGCCTCAAGGGAGCACAGTTAGCTCGTGCAACCAACAAACGACTAGTGGACGGAACAGCTGGCGTCGAGTGCACATACTCCCAAAGAAGACAAAAAAGCAAAAGCCGCCAAACTTGGCCGTCACGGCTGCTGCAGTTGCAGGTACTTTGCACTCCACTCCCTCACACTTACCCATTATACTTTTGGCAGAGTCCTCCATTACTCTATGCACGTCCAATGAAGATGACGGGCACAGGGGCTAAATGAACCGAATCCTAGTCTCTACTCTCTACCTAGCCTGGGATCGGATCAAATCAATCGATGCGACAGCCAGGGTCGAGCTCACACTAATTCACCGTCACTTGTCCCGCTTCTAGTTCATCTTCACCGTCTACCATCACCCTCGCTCTGTGCACGCCCGCTCTGCCACGAACCACAACCACTACCACAACCATACGCGAGTCTTTCGTTGTGTCAGGCTGCGGCTGCTGCAATTTCCCCCCTCTCCCGCCATTTTTCATTTCTGGCTCCTGCGCCAACTGCCACTTCCACTTCCTTTTGACAGTTGAACCCACTTGCACCGCTCCATAGGCCCAGCCCATTGACCCCTGCAACCTCTCCTCATGGCGGACAACAACGACCGGCCCACGAGCTCTCAGAGCTCTGACAAAGGAGGCGTAAGTAGCCGACGTCCACCAACATGCGCTGCTGCACAGAAGCGGCCCTTGTGAAAGTGTGCTGATCCCAGGCTGTGCTGTTACAGGACGACTTCGAAGACGCCTCTGAGGTTACTCCTCGCCCAGATTCACAGTCTGACCGGTCACGGCCACGGTCTCTCCTGAGCAAGCGCGACTCCTCCACCTCCTCGGCCCGCGATAGCAGAGACGATTCGCCCCCGCCTGACGTGCCAGAAGTGCCCGACCCAGCCAAGGAAGTCGAGGACGACCCAGTCAAGGAAGTCAAGGACGACGACCAAGTCAACGAGGACACAGCCAAGGAGAAGCCCGGCGACGAGAAATCGAGCGACGAGAAATCCTCCCCCAACTCGCCTCTCCTCACAGCGCATAGGATATCGGTGACTTCAGATATGGACGATGTGTCCCTAGACGGTGGTGAGTGTGCCCCCCACCCCCCGTACGACTTGCTTGAGACGGGTCGTGCCCCCATTGGAATGCTGCATGTCTTGGCCGGAGACATTCATTAGGGCCCCGAACGGGTCACATCCAGCCCTTTGGAATCGAGTCTTGCTTTGCCGGTGCTGCATAGCGAGTTCAAGCTAACAATGCTTAGACAATGCCAAAAACTCCACAACACCGCCGAAACTACCGTCGCGGGATTCTCGAGACTCAACCAGCAGTGCACTCCAAGGCTTGTCTGGCAGAATGTCTCCAGTCAAGTTTCCTCCGCCACCCCACCCTCCTACACTTCAAGAAAAAGCAGCACCGCCACCGCCCGCATCAAGAAAGCTAACGAGCCCCTTTTCCTGGCTATCACGGAACAGCTCCAGCAAGAAGACGGATTCAGGAAGCACTTCAACCGCAGACAAGCGCAATACCAATGCCTCGATCAATACGCTCGGTAGCAATCCTGAGCTCACCCTCAGCAGGATCGAAGACGAGGATCGGACAAACAACCGGTCGAGCTCAGGCAGCTTACGCGACCGGTTCAAATTTCTAAGGATGAGAGAAGAGGCCGGCATCACCATGACAGATGAGAACGGTGCCGAAGCGAGTCCTGGAGGTGCACTCGCTGGTCTCGTTGGGCGTTCTACAAGTGTGAGTCTTGGAGTAGGTAGTCCTACTGGACTGGTAGAGGATGGTCCCGGAAGCCCGCATCAGCCCACGGTCAACCCAAACCTGGCTCCTGGTACCGCTTCTGGATTTGCAGCTGGCCCTGCCCCTGATGCCGCCGAGCCGGTGGATTGGGATCTATGGCAGTCGGTCGTCAATGAAGGACCTGCAGCTATCGCACGTACTAGCCCAGAAGAACTGAACCGAGCCATCGCAAGTGGGATCCCGCAGGTCATTCGTGGTGTCATATGGCAGGTACTTGCACAAAGCAAGAATGAAGAGCTGGAGAACAAGTACAGGGAATTGGTCGCTCGGGGAACAGACAAGGAGCACACGCCTGTCAAAACCCCCAACTCGGGTACCCAAGTCAACGGAAACAAGGAGAAAGACTCCGTTGCTTCCTCATCGTCTTCCGTTCATTCGGACTACTCAACACCAGCAACCACCACTGCGAGTGGCACAGCTCCATTACCCTCACCGTCCGTTACGTCAGATAGCTCCGAGGATCCCATTAAAGCACAGGCAAGAATGGCTGCTGAAAAGAAGCAAAGCGCTGCCGCTGTTGCAAAATTAGAAAAGGCCATCAAGCGCGACTTGGGGGCCAGGACGAGCTACTCCAAGTATGTCATGGCAGCTGGTCTGCAAGACGGCCTTTTCGGCATCTGCAAGGCATATGCGCTATACGATGATGCGGTTGGTTACGCTCAAGGCATGAACTTTATTGCTATGCCTTTGCTGTTCAATGTAAGTCCTCCCTCTTGCCCAAGCAGGCCATGAAATTTACAGAGATAGATGCCCGAGGAAGAAGCTTTCAGCCTTTTCGTTACGCTCATGAACAAGTACGGCTTGCGCGACCTGTTCGTACATGACATGCCTGGCCTTCATCTCCATCTCTACCAATTCGAGCGTCTATTAGAAGAGTTTGAGCCAGCACTTTACTGCCATCTGCGACGACGAGAGGTCAAGCCACAACTTTACGCCACGCAATGGTTTCTTACCCTGTTTGCCTACCGATTTCCTCTCCAGCTTGTACTCAGAATATACGACTTGATCCTCAGTGAGGGTCTTGAGTCTGCCATTTTGAAGTTTGGTATCGTACTGATGCAGAAGAATGCCGAGACGCTATTGAAGATGAAGGACATGTCTACTCTCACCAACTTTCTCAAGGAGCGGCTCTTTGACGTTTACATTGACAAGGCTCCTTCGGCGAATTCCATCCTCGAGAATGGCTTCTTTGGCTCAACAGCAGGAATTGACAAGGAAGTCTACCGCGCTGACATGCTTGTGCAAGATGCGGTTGCCATCAAGGTGACGCCAGAGATGCTGAAGCAATACACTGCAGAGTGGAAGGAGCAACAACGTGTGGAGAAGGATCGTGAGACGGAGCTCCAGGGTCTGAAAGAAAAGGTAGCCCACCTAGAGTCCAAGGTCCGCCTACTTGAGACTCGTGCGGAGCAGTCGGACATGGAGCATGTGCAGATGGCCTCGGAGTTGGTCAAGACCAAGGTCGAGAATGAGAGTCTCGCTGAAGAGAATGAGACATTCAGGACCAAAGTGACTGAGCTCCAGAAGATTGTGGACACGCAGCCAGATGAGGTCGAGGCCCGGTTGAAGAGTGAGATGGAGACTGTGATGCAAAAGAACATCATGGTCCATAATGAGAATCGCAGCCTGGAAGAGGCGATGGCCGAGATGGAGAAGGAACTTGTGGAGACGAAGATGCAATGGGCTACTGTATGTTGACCGACACGCACCATTTGTACACCTGTCCCGCCCACTAACGCAGCTGCAGATCAACGAGGAGTACGAGAGCCTTAAACAAAAGTGGAACAGCGTGTCGAGCATGATGAAGTAAGCCTGATTGCTTACTTGTTGCATCATTCCCACCATCATTATCATGAGCGGCGTTTTGGGTTGACTTGCATATGGCAAACAGGCGTTGTGAAACTGAGGAATCCGGAATTCATCACAACCAGCACTGAGCGTCTTCACTTCAGATCCAATGTCTATATTCGTAGCGGCGAAAAGGTGTATTATGTAATCTGGACGCCAGTGTCCATGCCCATCCAACGACCTGCTTCGGCGGTCAGACTTGTTTTTTGCATTACGACGGGGGAAATTGATTGCATCACAGTCTTTGTTGCATGCAGCGTCCTTTGCGGTCTGGATAATGTGCGTTGGGTGGACTAGGCACTGACGAAAGAGGACTGGTACGGAACCATGGAATGAATGCTTCTAATTGGTGGGTGGGCCTACCTGCATGAATAAACGACGAGTTAGGTAGCAAAGGTAGGCCCCGCGAGGGTAGAGTATCTATCCTCAAAAACACTTGAATGAATACTTCAATGAGCCATGTGTCTCTTTCTGCACGATCTGCGTTCTTGATCATGTTTTTTTTTTTTTACTTTTTTTTCTTTCACTTTTTTAGAGTTTGTTGGGATCAATACTGCTTGTACTTTTGACTTCCCTTGCCGGGTGTGTGACAGAACTCTATGGACTCGACGTGGACGTGTACCGTGGTAGAGCAGGCACGAGCCACTGCTCGCTTAAAAAGACGCTAGCCGTCAAACCAAAGCTTCTCGACTCCTCTTTCTCTCATGCACAAAAGTTCTCCACCCGACAAACACGACAACCTACAACGCTTCACACACGCGCGCTTCCACTGCGCACTCGTCAACAACCCCCGCCACCGCTCCCCCTTCACATCCCTCCCTCCTCTCATTCAGTCCGCTGTCGTGTGCAATTAATTCCTACTTTAACCATCGCTCCTTCCCATCAACGCGCAATAGCCATGGCTGGGCCTCCCGATCTCAATGCAATCCTTGCGGCTCTTGGTACGCGCACCACATCTTCTGCTGCTTGGCCTGTGGCCCCATTGCTAACTTACTTGTTCATCAGCTGCCGGTGGAGGACGTGGGCCCTCTACCACGCCCTCGCAGGCGCCGCAACAGCCGCCGCCAGCGCAACATGCACCCCCTCCGGGCATGCCTCCCGGCTTCCCAGGCGGCATGTCGGCTGCCTCCCCATCTGGTATTCATGGCTACAACTTCCCTCAGCCCACCCATTCTGGTAGCCTCGATCTCAGCGCCATCAAACCTGTGAGCACTGGCTCCGTCAGCATACAGGACGCGCTGGCCAAGGCGCGTGGTTTTGCAGCTCAAAAGGGTCTTGCCTATGAGGCGCGCCCAGGTATTCCCGAGCCTTGGTCTGGTTATGGCGCGCCTGCGCAAACTTACACAGTCCCAGCTCATTCAGAAGACCCGCGACTCAGCGGCCGTTCTTACCGTCGATCGCGCTCGCGTTCGCGCTCTCCGCAGCGTCGTGAGCCTGTGCGTGAAAGCTACAACCCCTACCGTGACGAGCGCCGTGATGAGCGCCGGGGCGGAGGCTATGGTCGTGATCGTTCTCGCTCCCCTCCTAGACGTGAGACTTTTTCTCCATCGCAGGCACAGTACGGCGGTCAATCGCGCTCCCCCCCTCCCAATGATAACTCTGAGGTGATTCTCATTGATTCGTCGCTAGTTGGTCTTGTGATTGGACGCCAAGGTGAGAGTCTCCGTCGCATTGAACAAGAATCACAGACTAGGATCCAGTTTATCAATGGGCCTGAGTCTGGTCCTCAACGCCAATGTCGTATCACCGGTAGTCCCAGTGCTCGTATTAGTGCTAAGCGCGAGATCAACCGTATTATTGAAGAGAATGGTGGCAACCCGGCTCGTGAGACGGGTCGCAATGCACGAGCGCCTGCAAAGGCAGTCGTCGGCCAGCAGCAGCCCGCTCTCCGCGAAGGTGAACAGTCTTCTCAAATCATGGTGCCTGATCGTACTGTTGGCCTGATCATCGGCCGTGGCGGCGAAACTATTCGTGACTTGCAAGAACGAAGTGGTTGCCATGTCAACATTGTCGGTGAAAACAAGAGTGTGAACGGCCTGCGCCCTGTGAACCTCATTGGAAGCCCTGCTGCTGCCGCCCATGCCAAGGAGCTGATTATGGAGATTGTCGACAGTGACACAAAGCAAATGGATGCGAACAACCAGCAACAGTCACAGCAGCAGGCACCTCAAAACGCAAGACGTGATAATTTTGATGCATATGGCGGAGCAGGTGCTGCCCCTGCTGGCAAGATCAATGATAGTATCTTGGTCCCTTCCGATGCCGTTGGTATGATTATCGGCAAAGGTAAGACATACTCACCTACAGTCAAGCGTTTGGATGGGATATTAACGGGGATATACAGGCGGTGAAACTATCAAGACTATGCAATCTGACACAGGCTGTAAGATCAACGTGTCGCAAGCTTCGGGTGCCGACATTGAACGAGAAATTGGACTCGTCGGAACCCGCCAGGCCATCGAAGACGCTAAACGCGCCATCTGGGAGAAGGTTGACCAAGTAGTAAGTCCTTGCTGTCTTTCCGTGTGTCCCGATGCATGAACTAACAACGCAACAGAAGGAGAAGAATAACTCTCGTCGACGTGACAATGGAAACCAGGAGAATAACTACTCACACCAACAGCCATCTTACACGAATAGCGCGCCAGCAGCGCAGCCTCCGCCTGCCGCTGCTCCTGCTGCAGGCGCTGCAGATCCATATGCCGTGTACGGTGGTTACCAGAACTACCTTGCCATGTGGTATGCGTCTATTGCTCAGCAGCAACAGGGCGGTCAGGGACCACCGGGCGCTTAGGCTCACATGCATTCACCATGATTGATGCACATGCTGCTGAGACGTCGACGATTGCTGCTTGCTTTGCATACCCCCCTCGTGTCTGGATCTTGCTGCGTGTGGCATGTGTATACCCGGATCTTGGACTATTTCCCGATATCTTCTTTTTTGCTTTTACCGGCACTGCACCTGTGGATGACACCGCTCTTCTTCGTAGGACCTTTGGCATCAGTTCGTTTGCGGCATTGATAGCTTGGCCCTGACATGCCCGTCCGACCCCACTAAACGCCGTCCATTCTACGTGAGCTGCTCGCCGCTGAACCATGCCTGTCTTCTGGGTGACTGCTGAACTTGCGTCAAACGCGCAAAACGTTTTCATGGACTTGTCACTGAAGAAGAGGCAATGTAGTCAGTTTGCCTGTGTCGTCTCCATCCTACCTGAATATGTGGTAGCGGGGAATGTCCGCCCATGTACCTTGCATTCGCATGCATGCTTGCACATGATTTGATCTGCGAGAACGCTATCACGACCACGACATTTCCTACCGGATCACTTGTGTTTTGGGCATGTGTCGTCGCCTTGAACTGTTTATACGTCTACATGTTCGCACTGAAGTCTGACGGACGCTACAATTGAAAGTCACATTCGATGTAACAGGAGTCTTTACCTGTGAAAAAATCATGACGTCGTCTGCGATCAAGGAAAAAAGTTGGTATCAAGAATGGGTGATAGATCATCTCCCGCGATGCGTGGGGATTATATCTACCTTTTCCCATAGTTAGCACTCTCTAGTTTTAGTGCCAGCAAATGAAACCTTGGCAGTTTACTCTTACATGTCAGAAGTTGACTATGAATCATTCCATCCACTTTTATCCTCACAGTCAGCATCCTATTCCCGGAGTTGCTTTGCCATTGAGAGAGAGAGAGAGAGAGAGTGTGTGTGTGTGTGTATGTGTGACCGAGGTCCATTTCGTACTCCTAGGCCCGGTAGCCGTGAATCAAAGACCCACGATCCCCCCGCCAAGCAACCTCCCAAGGTTAAAACCAACCGCTGCTCACGTGCGAGAAGCCAAAGTGGGGCTAACCTATGGAGGGGGCGAGCCTTACTAACACCGGCGGCGACCGCCGACTTCCTTGCGCCCAGCAACCTGAACTTGTCAGATAAGACACGCTCTCGAACAGAGCTAATGCGAGCCGTGTGATTCCTTTCCCTTTCACCTGTAGAGTACATATACCCTTTTTTATTTTTCCCTTCCACCCCCATTTGCTCCTTGCTGGGTTGCAAATCACTGACGACGTTAACCTACACGAAGGGAGCGTGCTTTTTCTTTTTGCATCTCTCGTCACATTGACGTATATGACTCTTTCACGAGGAGGGAGAGATTAGAGACTGGTCTAAAGTCTGTGGGTTTCGTTTTTTTCGCCACACGCCGTTTTTGACGGGTTTTTATTGCCTTTTTCGATTTTGAGAGGGCGCGGTTTCGGGAGGAAGACGGTGAATAGACGGGCAGAAAGAGGTGTGTGCGTGTGTGTGTATTCTTTGCACACTGACAGGACGGGTTGGTTTAGTACATCTACGGCGTATACCTTGACCATCTTGTCAGGTTGTTGCTGGGGGGGGGACGTTTCTGTCATCTTCTCGTGCTTTCCGCCTCCACCTCCGTCTTTTTATACAGCTTCCGAGGTGTTCGTTCGTCTAATTACGACCTTTACGCCAGTGGCGCATTCTCCCATCATGGCGCCAGGACTCATATCCGAGACCTCAGCTGCCCCGGCTGTCTCGCAAGATGCGGCGAGGGCGTTGAGTGAGGTCACGGCTGGTTACGACGACACGCTGCGCTTTTATCTGAATGGGACGAAGGTGGTGCTAGATGCTGCTGATCCAGAGGTCACGCTGCTGGAGTATTTGAGGGGGATTGGGCTGACGGGGACGAAGTTGGGGTGTGCGGAGGGGGGTTGTGGGGCGTGTACTGTGGTATGTATGCTTCTGTCTTTCCTGTTCAGTGGGACTTGGCGCAAGAGGCAGGAAAACGTACGGGAGAGACAGTGAAGAAGAGAGCAAGGGTATTTTTCATACGAAAACAAAGGGATGGTGATTGGGCAGCACGAGGAACAGGGATCCCGTTATCGATGCTAACAACTCTTGAACAGGTCGTCTCACAATACAACCCTTCAACCAAGAAAATATACCATGCCTCTGTAAATGCATGTCTCGCACCGCTGATCAGTGTGGATGGCAAACACGTAATCACAGTCGAAGGCATAGGTAATGTAAAACGGCCACATCCAGCACAGGAGCGCATCGCAAAGGGCAATGGCAGCCAATGCGGATTCTGTACACCAGGTATCGTCATGTCTCTTTACGCACTTTTACGGAACAACGATGCACCAACCGAGCACGATGTGGAAGAAGCGTTTGATGGCAATCTTTGTAGATGTACAGGATACAGACCCATTCTCGACGCTGCCCAAAGTTTCAGTGTCAAGACTGGTTGCGGCAAAGCAAAAGCCAATGGTGGTGGAGGATGCTGTATGGAAAAGGACGGTAAAGGGGCCAGTGGTGGATGTTGTAAGAGCGGAACAGACGGCGATGATCAGCCCATCAAACGCTTTACACCACCTGGTTTCATTGAATACAAACCAGACACTGAACTCATCTTTCCACCTCAACTCCACAAACACGAATTTAGACCCCTCGCCTTTGGCAACAAGAAGAAAAAGTGGTTTAGACCGACTACCGTGCAGCAATTGTTGGAGATCAAAGATGCTTATCCGTCTGCAAAGTTGATTGCCGGGTCCACAGAAACGCAGATCGAGATCAAGTTCAAGGGCATGAACTACAGCGCTTCAGTATTCGTCGGCGATATACCCGAGCTCAGGCAGTACACCTTGCACGACGATCATCTCGAGATTGGCGGGAACGTCGTCCTCACCGATCTCGAGGAAATCTGCGTGAAGGCCGTGGCACATTATGGTCCTGTGCGCGGGCAACCATTCAACACCATACGCAAGCAAATCCGATACTTTGCGGGGAGGCAGATTCGAAATGTCGGTACCCCCGCGGGTAATTTGGCAACGGCGAGTCCCATTTCAGATTTGAACCCCGTGTTTGTTGCGACAAATGCCACACTCATTGCCAAGAGCCTCAAGGAAACGACGGAGATCCCAATGGCAACATTCTTCAAGGGGTACAGGCAGACTGCGCTGCCGCCTGATGCTATCATTGCGGGTTTGAGGATTCCGGTGGCCAAGGAAAAGGGCGAGTTCATCCGTGCGTATAAGCAGAGTAAGAGGAAGGACGACGATATCGCCATTGTCAATGCCGCTTTGAGGGTCTCTCTGGACGACGGAGATGTGGTAGAGAGTGTGGATCTGGTCTACGGTGGCATGGCCCCTACTACGATTCACGCGCGGAAAGCTGGAGACTTCTTAAAGGGCAAGAAGTTCACGGATCTTGCGACTCTGGAGGGCGTCATGGATCAGCTCGAGGAAGACTTTGATCTCAGATTCGGTGTGCCTGGTGGCATGGCGACGTATCGGAAGACTCTGGCCCTGAGTTTCTTTTACAAGTTTTACCACGAGATTTTGGCCGAACTTCATGCTGAGGAGGTGGAGATTGATACTCAGGCTATCGGCGAGATCGAGCGGGAGATCAGCTCAGGCAAGAAGGACGACAAGGCTGCCGAGGCGTATATCCAGAAAGAAGTTGGTCAGTCGAAGAGCCACGTCGCTGCTCTGAAGCAATGTACAGGTGAAGCCCAGTACACAGACGACATTCCCCTCCAACGCAATGAGCTCTATGGCTCCCTCGTTCTCTCTACAAAAGCACACGCCAAGCTGCTCAAGGTTGACGCAGCAGCCGCGCTCGAACTCCCTGGCGTCGTAGCTTACGTCGACCACAACGATCTCGCATCTCCCGAGGCAAATTGGTGGGGTGCTCCGTCCTGCGACGAAACCTTTTTCGCAGTCGATGAAGTCTTCACCGCCGGTCAGCCCATTGGTATGATCCTCGCCGACACAGCAAAGCACGCCGAACAAGCTGCTCGCGCCGTGCAGATTGAGTATGAAGATCTTCCGGCCATCTTCACAATTGAAGAAGCCATCGAAAAAGAAAGCTACTTCAATCACTTCCGCTATATCAAGAATGGCGACCCAGAGAAAGCATTTGCAGAATCCGATCACGTCTTTACAGGCACCGCGCGAATGGGCGGGCAAGAACACTTTTACCTTGAAACACAAGCCTGTGTCGCCGTGCCCAAGCCTGAAGATGGCGAAATGGAAATCTTTAGCAGCACCCAAAACCCCGCCGAGACCCAGGCCTACGTTGCCAAAGTCGTGGGCGTTGCCGCGAACAAAGTCGTCACGCGCGTCAAGCGCATGGGCGGTGGTTTTGGAGGCAAGGAAACACGGTCTATTCAGCTTGCTGGAATCGTAGCATGTGCTGCGAATAAAGTCCGCAGACCGGTGCGCTGCATGTTGAGCCGTGAGGAGGACATCCTGACATCCGGACAACGCCACCCTTTTCTTGCCCGCTGGAAAGTCGGGGTCAACAAAGATGGTCGTATCCAAGCCCTCGATGCAGATGTATTCTGCAACGGAGGCTGGAGTCAGGATCTCAGCGGTGCAGTGGTAGAGCGTTCACTCAGCCACATCGACGGCGTCTACAGCATACCCAACATTCATGTCCGGGGACGCGTTGCAAAGACAAACACTGTATCCAACACCGCATTCCGCGGCTTCGGCGGACCGCAAGGTCTCTTCATTGCGGAAACCTTCATTGAAGAGATTGCAGACCACCTAGGCATTCCGGCCGAGAAGATGCGCGAGATCAACATGTACGGGCCAAACACAAGCATGACGACGCACTTCAACCAAACCATTCCAGACTGGTACGTACCCCTGATGTACGATCAAGTGCAACAAGAATCCTCGTATACTGCCCGCCGCGAAGCCATCACCCACCACAACGCCACCCACAAATGGGTCAAGCGCGGACTCGCCATCATCCCCACCAAATTCGGCATCTCCTTCACCGCGCTCTTCCTCAACCAAGCCGGAGCCCTCGTCCACATCTACCACGATGGCAGCATCCTCGTCGCTCACGGCGGCACAGAAATGGGCCAGGGCCTACACACCAAGATGACGCAAATCGCTGCCCAAGCCCTCGGGGTATCCATGTCTGAAATCTTCATTGCAGAAACCGCAACGAATACGGTGGCCAATACCTCCTCCACAGCTGCCTCGGCATCCTCTGATCTCAATGGCTACGCCATCCAAAACGCCTGTGACCAACTCAACGCCCGTCTCGCCCCCTTCCGCGAACAACTCGGCCCCACGGCATCGATGAAGGACCTCGCCCACGCCGCCTACTTTGCACGCGTCAACCTCTCCGCCCAAGGCTTCTACAAGACGCCCGAGATAGGCTACGTCTGGGGCTCCAACACAGGCCGCATGTTCTTCTACTTCACGCAAGGCGTCGCCGCCGCCGAAGTCGAAATCGATACCCTAACGGGCTCGTTTACGGTGCTGCGGGCCGACGTCAAGATGGACGTTGGACGCTCCATCAACCCGGCACTCGACTATGGACAGATTGAGGGTGCGTTTGTGCAGGGCCAGGGCCTGTTCACGACCGAGGAGAGTCTGTGGTTGCGCAGCTCGGGCCAGATTGCGACGAGGGGGCCTGGGAATTACAAGATTCCTGGTTTCAGAGATATTCCGCAGGTGTTCAACGTGAGTTTGCTCAAGGGGGTCGAGTGGGAGAATCTGAGGACGATTCAGCGGAGTCGGGGTGTTGGTGAGTTTCTTTCCTCCTTCCATTCATCCCCCCACCCTCCAACTCCCAAGACTCCAAAACTCCAAAACTAACGCACGCAACCCCTCCCCCAGGCGAACCCCCCCTCTTCCTAGGCAGTTCCGTCTTCTTCGCCGTCCGCGACGCGCTCAAGGCCGCCCGTGCAGAATTCAACGACACGTCGATTTTGCACCTCCAGTCGCCTGCGACGCCCGAGCGCATTCGCATCTCGTGTGCCGATCCTCTTGTCAAGCGGGCGTGGGTGGAGCCGCGCGAGGGTGAGAAGAGCTTCTTTGTTAGTATTTAGGTGGACATGGATGGTTTCGAGTGTGGGGGATGGGATGCGGGGGCGATACTGTCATGTTTTAAGATTTCTTTTCTCTTTTTTTGGGGGGAAGACCAAGTCGATATAAGCAACGGCCGATGAAAAACAATCGATCCGCATCCATGTAAACACCTCGTGCTTGCCGGCTTTCTCGGGGGTAAATTCTATATATGAGCACACAGGATACATGGTCGTGTCTTCTCCACATCAACAAAAACAAGCAAGCTTCCCCGATCTTCTCCGCATGTTGTGCTCGGTCGCTTTGGTCTGGTGAGATGTACCATGCACGTCGTGAGTCTTGCCAAGTGCAAAGTCACGCGTTGCGATTTGATTTTTTCCCGACCAGAACGACTTGTGTACATGATGGTAAGTAGTATTTCACCGGCTGTGCGGGGAGGGAACGAGGGATGAGGAGGTGGTTGTGTCATGTTGGGTTTGGTCGGTTTGTCTGTATGAAGGAGGCGAGAAGGAGGGAGGGAGGAGTCATGAGTAGATGTACCCACGATTGATTTCCACGAAGCCGAATAGAAAACGGGAAAAAGAACTGACGCCCATCTTACGAGGATTGGCAAGCACTGAAACAAAGACGAACGAGCAGTTTAAAAGAATGAACCAAAGAATAGACTGAATAGTTTCTACTTGTCAGCCCTGCGCATCTGCGCCAATATCGCCTTGCCCGATCGACTCTCATTCGGCCGCCCCAACTCCTGCGATATCCATTCTCCCACTTTTGCCAGCTTCTCGACATCGACGCCCGTCTTCGCCCCTAAGCTATGAAAGCAGTGTACCAAGTCCTCCGTCGCCACATTACCCGTCGCCCCGGGACTATAGGGACACCCACCCAGCCCCGCAACAGCGGCATCAAAAGTGCGAATACCATGTTCGAGTGCGACCACGGAATTCACAAGGGCCTGGCCGTAGGTATCGTGAAAGTGGAGGGCGAGATCGCTCTTGTCGATGCCGGCTGCGTTGAGGGTCTTGAGGAGTTCGGCGGTCTTGGGCGCGGTGCCCATGCCGGTTGTGTCGGCTACGGAGATTTCGTCTGCGCCCATTTCGAGCAGACTGACTGCGAGTTCGGCGACTTTGTGGGGGTTGACGTTGGGGCCTTCGTAGGGGCATCCGAGTGCGACGGAGATGTAGGCTCTGACGTTGACGTTCATTTCTTTGGCTTTTGCCATGATGGGTTCGAAGCGTTTGAGCGACTCTGCGATGGAGCAGTTTGTGTTCTTTTGTGTGAAGGCTTCCGTCGCGGCGGTGAAGATGGACAGCTCGTGTATGGGATCTTGGGAGGAGGTGGTTTGGGCCGGGGCATCATTTGTTCCTGGGGATGGTGGAGGTGTGGGATACGCATCCTGGCCTGAGTTTGACTTGGCCTGCCAGGTGGAGAGGAAGTTGTCGAGGCCTTTGACATTTGGCAGCAGCCATTGGTAGGTAATCGGGCGTGAAGATTGCGGCGCACGATTCAAGACGTGTTCGAGAATCTCGGCAGAATTCGCCATCTACACGATGAGTGACATCAGCTGAACGTGTTCCTTTCCTTTTGAGGGATTCCATGGTCTTTCACCTGTGGGGTCCATTTCGGCGACACAAATGAGCCTGCTTCGATGGTCGTCAATCCAGTCTGCGCCAGCCTCTCCACTAGCTCAATCTTGGTCGCCAGAGGTATCGTCTTCTTCTCATTCTGCAGTCCATCTCTAGGCCCAACTTCTACAATGCGAACGTGGTCTGCACGGCTACTGGCGGCTGAGGCGAACGTCCTTTGCCGGCACGGATGGCGAGCAGCAAGACGCGCCGCGCGCAGATAGGTAAACTTCGAGGACATGGTAAGCACTATAGCAGCAATGGGTGTGGCAATATTGTAGGTCCCGTCAGGTAGCTCATGGCTGCCTTGTGGAATTGAGGTTTGCGGGGAACATTCACCGAGGCAAAGCTTAGGCCGAGCATGGACCACTTCCCAAGCAATGGAATCGTGGGTCTTGGCACTGATCTCATAGTCCTCGAGGTTCAAGTCTACGAATTACGACTGCGTTGTTGCATCTATCTTCGTGGCGTACAGACTGGTATCCCGAGGCTGTGCGGTAGATAGCTGGTTACTACAAAAACCTCCATCCAAGTCCGAATGCGATCGGACATGGTTCTACCGTCCACTACACAGGAACGTGCAATAGCTTCTCGCGGCTTACCGAAACTTGAATTTGAACATGAGTTCATGAGTTCCTCAAAACCTCTGTGCCTTGGACCCTTTACTACCTACTCTAGCGGACACAGGCTCAAGCTCTCCCCACTTATGATCGCCTGTTCAGACGCTTAGGGACGGCGTGAGATCGTGTTGACTGTTCCGTGGCCTGCATGGCATCGTCAGAACTCTAAAGAAAATCAAGACGACTCGAGTTTGCTATGCAGATCTGATCATTCTCCAAGACTGCCCATCATCCGTCATCTGAACAAGCAACGGCCAGGCGACTGGCGGCGACTGGCACCTCGTTCGAAGGTCATGCGATGCAGCCCATGTATGTCTTTCATCATTCATGCGCACCATAGCTTGACCGCTCTTTCAGGAACTGGCTCGCAGCTCGGCGGTCTTGCCTCCCCATGTCCGTGTGCTCAGTTGCTGATTTTGATTTTTGAAACACTTGGGTCGACATCGACGCCAGGCCTGCCAGCTCCTCGACGTCGGTGCCGTCCGTTAGTGCAAGGGCTTCGGGTGGAGAAACGAAATGGGCCAGCAGTGACCACAACGCCTCGGGGCCAGAATGGACGCTCGCTGGCCGATGGCACCGGGATTTGAAAATGGCGTGCTTGTCAAATTGAACTCGATAGTCACCCTCTTGTTCGTATCTGACTCTATTATTTGCATGCGAGCATGTCGATAAGAAAAAAGATTTATTGATATTTGGAGATGAGTTCTCCATGAGGGAACCAATATGCGCGTGCATTCGAGGTTGAACCATGTCCATGTCCGCAACGGGCGGGGATGGCGGACAACAGGGGAAGGCTGTGTACAGCACAATGTCCAGCAGCTGCTAGGAGAATAAATGACGCCTGCGAGGCAAGATCTTGCGGCGGGCGGAAGAATTGTTTCGGCGCAATGGTAAAGTGGAATTGGCCGACCCTGGCGGCCCTGTTCGCTTGTAGGGAACAGTGGTATTGAAGAAATACGGGCAAGCCTAGAAGAGCCGAAAGAGTTCACCAGCACCGATCGGCGAGGTTGTTGGACCTGTATACGGGTCCCTTGCGAGGTGTAGGTAGGGATGGGTAGAAGAAGATGTATAAAAAGTACATGGGACATGGTTACATGCGGATCTCTTATCAGTTCGTCAGGTTCCTCGGTCGCCCTGGCGCCCAGCGGCCATATCCGACATCCGGATGAGGCTCTTTCCAAGTCAAGCTCCGTGATGGTCCCCGTGACTGGTCTCTCGTGGACTGGTGCAGAGCCTCTGGTGTGGAGACAAAAGTCACGGCGCGTAATTCACATTTGGATTGCGAAACAGGTACATGGTGTTGGTCCACAGACAGGGACATGTGAGAGAGGCGGGTTATGTGCAGGTCTCGTATTTTCCCCGTCTCCCAAGTCAACCCCGCACGTTGGTGGATGACGGGAGGCGGCGCATTGGACGAGTAGGTAAGTTGGAGTACCGTAGTTCACTGGATGGTGTTCACTGTGGACGGCCTTGCCGTTGATTTCCCGGCGAAGGAAGACCCTGTTTCTGTCTAGGCCGGCAAGACATGTGCTGACGAGTTGCTGGAGAGCTTGTTACTTGAGACAAAATCGCTGAGTGGTTGGCAAGCAAGTGAACTTGGCTGGCAGTGGGCAAAGTACCTAGAGCGTAGGTGGAATGGTAGCCAGGTAGCGGTAGATGTGATGCTGCACGGGTGCCGAGGTGCGTCCCATGAAAAGGCTTAGCTCACGTGCAAGAAGCCCCCTCCCTGGGCCTTGTGAGGGTACGGGTACTATGTATGTAGGTATGTAGGTACTAGGTACTCCTGCTGGGTTCTAGGTTCTAGAGTAGGTACTCCTACTGGGTTCTAGGTTCTAGGTTCTAGGTTCTAGGTTCTAGGTAGACTAGGTAGACTGGGTATGGTAAGTTGAGCTACGCACCCTGGGAATCCAGTTGGCTAGGACTTGGGTCATCGGTGAAGGCGCGAATTGCAGGACGAGCCCGTCGTAGGTAAGAAGAGGTCCGACGGCCAGGCTGCATCCAACCTGGAACCAGTGCCTTAGGCCGCTCAACGTTGGACGGGAGATGAATGTGCGGCAGGGCGTCACAGTGCCCAAGGGCCACGGCATAGTAATGGCCCGACATGGGGGCTGGCCCGCTGGCTTGCGCCATGGAGGTGTGTGTGTGTGTGTGTGTGTGTGTGTGTGTGTGTGTGAGTGAGGAGATGGTCAAGCGGCGCACACGACGGACGCAGAAAACCAAGCTCTGGCTGTAACCTGTCCTGGATGGGAAGGGCAGAGGAGCACGGCGAAGGCGAGACAATCAAACAAACTGCAGCTGGGGGGCGGTGCTGTGTGTGTGTGTGTGTTGTGTAGTGTAGTGTAGTAGTGCTGTGCTGTGCTGACGGTTGAGGGTGCTACCTTGGACGTGCTACCTACTGTATACCTACTTACCAGTACGCATGGCCCGTGAGTCGTGGGGGTTGTGAGAGAGGGAGAGGAGGCATCAGAGGCGTCAGAGGATGACAGTGGTCATATCGCCTTCTCATCATCAGGCGTGCATGAAGGGCTGTTATCACGACGAGGTCCACGAGAGTGGCACCGCCAAGAAGAAGGAAGAAGAGCAGAGCCGGCTGGCAGCAGCTCACGCAGGACCGGGCAACAAAAGACAGCGCTGGCACTGGAGCGCGGCGGTGCCAGACCAGACCAGGCCAGGCCCTTGACAATCCCAGTTGGTGCTTGCATCTTGCATCATCCATGGATGCAGGCAGGACTCGATGTCATTGTAATGGAGGGAGCGTCTGTCCAGTCGCGTGCAGCAAGTGCATACAGATTGGACTACACCCTGGCAGCCCATTACCGATGAGCCTAGGTATGGTACCTTGTAGGAGAATACATGGCGTAGGGGTTGTGAAGTGAAGACGCTACTAGTATACAGCAAGAGAGACACGGAGAGAAGAGAGAGAGAGAAGTATGGCATCTGCAAATGGTAGAGTATGACGATACGGTACATGTGGGAAAAGCTCGCATCAGCATGTTGGTATGGTGATTCCAGAGTCAAGATTAGTAACAGTAGACTTGCAGCCATCTTGCAGCCAGCCGCCAACCGAACACACGGCCCTTGAACTGTTTTGGAGAGAGAGAGAGAGTGTATGTACTCTACAGTAGGTAGAGTACACAGTAGTAGGTAGCAGGTAGACCTTTTGTTAGCCTTTCACCCCTTCCACCCCCGGACGATTAGCTACCGTACCACCTAGCCTGGCCTACCCTACCCTTCCCTTCTCTACCCTACCCATATCCAGACCCTACCCTCGCCCTCTCAGTGGCAGACGACCTTAGCGTCTCCGAAGTTTAGTGGCCGGTGGCAGATCGTGCTTGTCCATGGCAGTGATTGGTGGAGCACGTGTGGCGTCCCAGCCCTCTCCGTCCTGCAGAAAGCCCACCACAGCCCACTGCAAGCCCACTTCAAGCCCTCACCACTCCCCTCCCCTCTCCTCTGTCGCCATCCGCTATATCCAAGCTTCGACCCCCCCCCCCCCCCCATTGCCACTCTCATGGGCTCTG